CGCGTGTAGAGGTAAACGAACTCGTATAATCGATTGCGTTTCAAAAAACAACAAGCACGAGAGACGTGGCTAGAGAAGTGCAAGTATCAAAAACTAAAGTGTGACAAACGCTGCGTGAAGAGGGGCTGTATCCGTTTCACGTCCAAAGTGTACAAGCCCTTCAACCTGACGATTTTCCAGCAAGAGTGCGGTTTTGTGAGTGGTTGTTGCATCAACATAACAATAATCCGGACTTTTTGAAGTGCATATTGGTGACAGACGAATCTACGTTCACGCGTAATGGGGTGAATAACTTTCGCAACACTCATGTTTGGTCAGTAGAAAATCCGCACGCTGTCCGTCGGGCAACAAACATTTTCGGTGAATGTTTGGGCTGGCATGGTGAACCTAGACCTAGACTTTTTACGCAACATTTTGCCTTCCTTGTTTGCCTGCGTCTGCTCGGTAGCGCATCAGCTGATTTCATTTTCTGTTCGGTATGATTTCGGACAGAGACGTACTTGGCCCTTCTCGTCATCTGGAGAGTGAGTACTTTTCCTTTATTTTTTTTTTACTTGGTCGTCCTCGTTTCACTACACATTACCTTTGTTATTTCAAGGGTAGTTGTTTCTGAAAAGGAAAACCCCAACTTTGCGGACACCCTGTATAATACGAGTGAAATTATACAATCAATAAATTATTAAATTTGCCAAAATAAAATCATTGAAAATGGTTTGGCCTAGGAATGAGCACTCTATTATCAATGAAGATAAATTCAAATTACGGATAAGTGATAAACAGTAAAAAAAAAGTTACGTGATTTTGGCACGTGACAAAGTGATTTTTGGTATATCAGCGTCTTTTGGCGAGTTTTACAAGCTGTTGTGTGTGTGTGTCAAAATATTGGCATTGGGAGTCCATTTGCCACAAAATGTTGTCAATGGATTTATATTATCTGATCATTGTGAGAGACGGTAAGAAAGAAAGAAAAGGAGTGGATATGACTGAATAGTTACGAATTCCAGACAAGGTTTATTTTATAAGGTAATATTTGCCTTTTTAAGGAATTGAATTAGCGCTAAATAAATTTTTATATCCGGAAAGGACAAAATGGTAGTCAGACTTAAGGTAGTTGGAAGCCAAGTTTAATCATCTGAGCGATTAATTGGTTGGAGATGTTGGTGTAAAGATTACAAGCAAAAAATATGTGATTTAGATCGGCTATAGAAGATTCATCACAAGCACAATTTGGGGACTCTATTACACCTATTCGATGAAGATGAGCAGGAAAGCAACCATGACCCAATCTCAATATCGTTATAATTGTGGAGAATCTTCTATTCATATAGAAGAGATCTATGTGGGGAATTATATTGGGAAGGGTCGGGTAAATAAGAGCATAATGATTTCGAGAGTTTACTACAAAGTTGCAAGCGTTAAAATAAATGACTCAACTTTGAAAACAGCATGTATACAGACTGAAATTTGTTGCATATTAGATTCCCTATTTGGCCCAGAGAAAAACACAATAAATTAACAGTAACCCACTACAGTTAAATCTGTCATCTACAACGTCCTCAAATGTTAGTTAATACCTATTTGAAATGAGACATGAACCACCGTCTCTGTTCACATTAACCTTTTAATGCGCTATGATATCACTGTCTCCTACTATTATGTAAGTACGCAGCCGACACGTTTAGTAAATAATCGTATATGATACCATGCGTCATGCGAATAGCTGTATGCCGTAATAATGCTATGATAATTTCATGGTGGTGCACAAGCTACTGCAGAATACGGGGCCGCAGCATATGCATTCGAGAGAAAGATTTCACGAACAGCTTGAGGGTTGGGCTGAACAGAATCTACTTGCTTTGCCGTATCTGCGACCATAAGTGACCGGTGTTTTATCCTTTTTAGCGACAATGAGTACGGTAATGTTCCGGTCATTTGGTGACGGATGACGGAAATCAAACTATTCTATTGAAAAACCCAATAAACTATACGGCCTATATTCTCCAAGGTGACTGACCACAATAACTTTTTTATTATTGAAGATAGAAAAACGAAATTTGGCGGTTGCGTATTATACAAGGTGTTTCAGTTTATTGTTGCATAACTTTAAGATTCGATAGAACTTTTAAAATTAATGCATAAAGTTTATAAAAACATGGGTCGAAAAATGCGTGGCCTCCGAAATACAGGGTGTTTAAATTTAATTTCTAAAATAGTTTTTTTTAAATATTTCGAACAATATTTGATGTATAACAGTGAAAATTGTTTTTTGGTACGACAAAACGAACCATGGGCATAGTTTTACTACAGCCGCTAGATGGCGCTCCCTACTGTACCTGTAGTGTATTAAAATGACCGAAAATGCCATTTTTATTCTCCAATCAAGAGTTAGCGGATATTCATTTTGTGTATGGCTTTGTAAATGGGAACGCAGCAGAAGCAGCCAGAGAATACGCACGAATATTTCCAAACAGACGAGATCCAACTCGCTCAGTATTTGTAAGAGTGCATCGCCAAATAATTGAAAATGGTTTTGGAAATCTCCAAAGGGATCAAAACATAAATGTTCGTCAGCGCAGATTTACCGTGTTCTTAGAAATGACCATAGACGTCCTTACCATTTGCAACCTGTGCAAGGACTACAGCCAGGGGACGGAGAACGAAGAATCACATTTTGTCAGTGGATTCTTGATATAACTGATAATAATAGGGAGTATTTAAGTAACGTTTTATGAACCGATGAGTCATGCTTCACTAGACGTGGAGTGGTAAATTTTCATAATCAACATATTTGGTCGCATGAAAATCCGCATGCAGTTCGGGAAAGAAATTTTCAGCATGAATTTAGTGTGAACGTGTGGATTCGTATCTACCGTAATCGACTATTTGGACCCTACCTTTTGCCTGCAAGGTTAAATGCTGCGACCTTCTTGGAATTTTTAAAGGCTGAACATGCAAATATGTGGGATGATGTTCTGTTAGATTTAAGAAGATTGGCCTGGTTCCAGCTTGATGGTTGTCCAGCTCATTATTCGAGAATAGTTAGAAACTGGCTGGACGAAAATTATCTAGAAAGATGGATCGGCCGTGGAGGACCAGTCGCCTGGCCTCCACGATCGCCTGACCTAAATCCATTAGATTTCTTTGTGTGGGGATTTCTAAAAGAAAAAGTGTACCAGACTCCCGTAAAGGCCCTATTTGAATAGTGCTATACCACGTTCGATCATTCGTAGATGTGAATTGTGTATTGAACAATTGGGTTTACATTTCGAGCAACTACTTTAGATTTTGTATGTTTGTCCTAACTATCCGATAGCATTTTAGTTGTAAATAATTAATTTAATTTGTTAAAAATAATATTGGAAAATTAAACAAATTAATATTCTGTTTTTTGTGTTTATTTGGAGTTAGGAATTATTGCTGTGTTTAAAAACACAATCTAAACGATCATCTTAATTACTTGTAAAACCCAAATCGAAAATGTAAAAAAAAAAATATTATTTTCCCATAAATAATTAAAAATGCATCGAACCTTAAAAATCGAAATATCTCAAAAACGGCTAACTATAACGAAAACTCACAGGAGAGCTTTTTTATGTTGAAAAGTGCGAAGAATCAGTTTTTTTATTCATAAAGCAAGAAATTGCACTAAGAAAAAATTTGCGGTCATTTTAATACACTACAGGTACAGTAGAGAGCGCCCTCTAGCGGCTACAGTAAAACTATGCCCATGGTTCGTTTTGTCGTACCAAAAAACCCTTGAATACCAATTTTCACTGTTATACATTAAATATTTTCGAAATATTTAAAAAAAACTATTTTAGAAAGTATTTCGGAAGCCATGCATTTTTCGACCCATGTTTATATAGAATTTATGCATTAATTTTAAAAGTTCTATCGAATCTTAAATTTATGCAACAATAAACTGAAACACCCTGTAGATGAGTTTACATTTTTTCACATATTCACTTGTTTTGACGTACTTCCGCTTTGACCGGAAACGACCCGAACTTTCGGTTTTTAAATGAGACATCCTATATATTTTTACTTGTTTCGATCGAGAATGATATTCTGAACTCAACAACGCCTCGCTTGTCAGTTTTGATAAATAAAGTAACTCCTATTTCAATTTTTACTCTTTGATCTAGAATGCCATGGAACCTGTAAATCGCTTCATTTTTGATCAAGTAACAAGGGAAAATACTATCAACGTTTCCAATGATGAATTCGTTTTTCAAATAAAAAGTTCGTGGTGCATGAAAAAAATGTGGGAACCTTATTTTTGAAACTACCCTCGTAAGTGATTTAATATACAAAACAGCCTAACACTGACAGCAAGCCAGTTCGCGAGTAGGAAAGGCAGTAAAATACGCGATTATACGAGGGATGTCTATTAAGTTTTGCATATAGAAACATAGTAGGCCGCGCGGATCGGACTTCAGTACTGAATCTTAACATCACTCTTTAGTAAACTTAAATTCAAAGTTTCACAACAATACGTGCAGTGTTCTCACGACATGCTGTTTTGGATCTGCCAGCAAATGAATGGAATAAGTGCTTCGAAAATTGGTTCGAGCGCATGCAGATGTGTATTAGTCTTCGTGGAGAATACTTCGAAAAACAATAAAGTCATTTAAACTTACCTACCGTGTTGTTTTATTTCCATATGCAAAACTTAAAAGGCATCCCTCGTAAAGCACTGATAAGGAGCTTCGAAACGGCAGCTCATTTCGTTTAAAAAATGTTCCAAGAAGGCGCTTAGCCACCATTTTGAAATCATCAACGATCACTTTTACGTTAAAATATAGTATTCATGCATCATTTTCATCATCCCGAATTTCAGCTCGCTAGATCGACCTGTTCAAAAAATAAGTGGAGAGAGGGCCTTCTTGAAAAGCACCGTATGTGATATCGATTTGCGGTTATCATGTTAGTGCAAGCTTATCAGCGGTTAATAAAAAGATATCCCAAAAGAAAGAAGCGGAAGCGTGCAAGCCAATTACCACAAATACTGCGGGAACAACGAGTTGGCTTAGAATTTAGCAGCTGCTTTACTTCATGTGGTTTTGCTACGGAAAAAATTAGAAAAACATTGTTAGTACAAGTACATCAAGCATTTCTAGCTGTACATGGTGTTTGGAAGGTCGATACAAAGTCTTGGGGCAGACCATTCAGAGTCTTTTGACCCATCATACCTCAGTACGAAGTCTTACGGTTTTCGAAGATATTCGGATTTTCACATATATATCATAAATTAGTAAACGAAACAAAATAAACTAATGAAACATGCTTTATTGGTGTTCAAAGTGAGAACCACTGTTTCTAATACATGCTCGAGCTCTACGTGTTACTTCAGTAGTTGTTCTTCAGTGTAAACTAACTGTTTAGCCCGCCCCCAGACATAGAAATCCAATGGTGACAAGTCCGGGGATCGAGCAGGCCACGGAATTGGCTCACATCTACCTAGCTATTTGGAAAAGTATCGGCCAAATATTGTCTTACGTCTAAAAGGAAATGAGCTGAACAACTGTCGTTTTGGAAAACAATTTGGCAAAAGGCAAAAAATGAGGACCGATTAATCTTTGTCCCATGACGGCGGCCCATACATTAACGGAAAATTTGTGCTGGAAAGACACCTGCTTTTTCCAGTGTGGATGTTCCTGCTTATCAGCAGGAATCGTTCATTCTCAATGTCACTATCTAAGAGAAAACGGCAAAATTGGCTTCGGCGAATAGGATCAAGATCTTCAAGTCCTTGTACGCCGAAACCATGAAAAGGATATTTTCGTTCACGGTCCATGATACTCCAAACCTTCCATGGCGACAAACCAAGATCAGCAGCAACTTTCCTAGTACTTGTAGTGGAATCATCCTCAAACGCTTGGAGGATTAGATCTTCGGCTTTAGGAGGAGTTCCACCACTTACGTGTCAGGATGGAACTATTGTATTCGACTCAAAGGCCAAGGCGGAAGTGCTAGCCAAGATCTTTGCTGCCAACTCCACCATGGACGTCCCCACCAACGCCCAAGTGCCGTCAATTCAAAGGGTTCCCCACACTATGCGGGAGGTAACATTCAGGCATAAGACCGTAAGACGAGTGCTCTTGTCGCTCGACATCAACAAAGCTTCTGGTCCGGACTTGATTCCTGCCATTGTACTGAAGAGATGTGCAGCGGAGCTTGCTCCAGCTCTTTCGCGTCTCTTCCAGATACCTTATGAATCCGGCACCTTCCCAGAAAACTGGAAATTTGCTCATGTACAGCCCATCCCAAAAAAAGGATCCAAGACCGACCCTTACAACTACAGGCCTATAGCTCTGCTTTCTGTTATAAGTAAAGTGATGGAGAGGTGCATAAATCGCGAGCTTCTGGACTACCTCGAACGTCACAGCTTGATTAGCGACAGGCAGTACGGTTTCCGGCACCAACGATCCACAGGGGACCTCCTAGCTTACGTCACGCAACTGTGGAGTAAACTCATCCAGTCTCATGGTGAGGCTCATGTCGTTGCTCTTGACATCACGAAAGCGTTCGATCAGCTGTGGCACGCTGCCCTCTTAAGCAAACTTCCATCCTACGGCCTCCCAGAAAAGCTTTGCAGATGGGTGGCTGACTTTATCTCTGGCCGCAAGATATCCGTCGTAATTGACGGACTCTCCTCTTCATCCCACAACGTCAACGCGGGTGTTCCCCAGGGATCGGTCTTGGCTCCAACACTGTTTCTTTTACATATCAACGACCTCCTTTCCTGCACGATCAACCCAATCCACAGCTTCGCTGATGATAGCACTCTACATGCAGGAATTCAGAGTGACAAGCCGATCTCTGCCGCTGAGCTGGAAAAAAGAAGACTAGCGACGACTTCTTCTCTGACAAGAGACCTGGAGGCTATCACTGCTTGGGGACGCAACAATCTTGTACAGTTCAATGCTTCCAAAACACAGTACTGTACTTTGACGAACAAAAAGCGTCCTAGCGCTCATACAGTTTCGATTAACGGTCGAGTTCTACCAAAGAGCCATTCATTTCGGCTGGTCGGAGTCCAGATCACCGAGGACCTGATCTGGCACGAACACATCTCTTCAATAGCAGCAGCTGCTGGGAAAAAGCTAGGCTATTTGTTTAGGGCTAAGAAGTACTTTTCTCCGCATGACCTTCTCACTCTATACAAGGCCCAGATAAGGCCTAGCCTCGAGTATTGCTCACACATTTGGGGTGCTGCCGCCCCGACTACATTGTCCATGCTCGATGCTGTCCAGAGGAGGGCGGTCCGACTGATCGATGACTCTTCTCTAACAGACAGCCTCGGGACTCTTTCGCACCGCTACACCAACGGACTTTGCTCCTCAGAGCTCTCTTCTATGATGCCGCCGCGCGATGTGCCTGCCAGACATACCCGCCTGACTTTGGCGTCCCATCCTAACCGTGTCAAGCTTCGTACATCCAGAACTGGCCGATACGACCGCTCCTTTGTCCCGAGGGTGTCTAGATTGTGGAACAATCTACGGGAGGAAGCTTTTCCCAGTTCTACTAACCTTAGGCAGTTCAAAAATCGTATTAACAAAATTTCTTTGGGATCATCATAGCAGCCGCGGTGTTCCGGCATTTAGGCTTCTGCCTGCGCGGCTGTTTCGATATAAAAAAAAAAAATATCGACCTGTATTAACACCAGGTTCATTACGTAAAGACGTCAGTAAATATTGTAAAACACTCTGGCATTAGGCAATCTTCTCCCAGGAAATCGCTCTTGGTACAACTATTTCATATAGCATGATATTCTTTCAGTGATAACAGGAGCAAAAGGAATATTTTTTTTTCAATAAAAATTGAAAATCTCGAATAACTCAAAAACCTGACTTTGAACTAAGGTATTTTTGGCGTAAAGTATTCTAAATGGTCTGCCCTATCACCTCCTCAAAACTTTGTATCGACCTTCCAAACACCCTGTATACAAATACTCCAATCGCAAATTCACATCTCATCCATACTGATATAAATACTACGGTCACACAATCATACATAAAAACAATATGACGCGTCGATTTCGGAATCTACGAACTCGATTTACCTAGGAAACATGAAGATCATTGAGGCTCAATGATTTTTGTAAATTTTTTATTAGTCGTTTTTTGACAAAGTGGAATTGAAGACCTCGGTGCAAATAACAGGTAAATCACATTATAGAAAATTTTGAGAAATATAATCAAAGAGAACAAAACCAACATAACTTGAAAAGTGGTAACAAAAATGATGTATCGCAGTCATAAGCATCATCACCCGTACCAACTACTTGTTGTGGAACTTCAATATGTTCGGAATCTCCGAAGATCTTTCGATAGTACCATAGATCGGCGGCCGGTAGGTATTTTGCTGATAAAAGTTTAACACCAGAAGCCTTTTTTTCTTCATTAAGCGGCAAAGGATAGGGTTGTATCGTATGTGAACTTGGAAAGCACAATACCACATTTTCTTTTTCGATATAAAACCTTGTAAAAACTGGGAAGGATGTTGCAATACTGCATTCTACAAATTTAAATACTTTTTAATACTGGAAAAGTCGTTTCCGGCCTTGCAGGGAGGACGTCAATATTTGGAATCTTTTTTATTAATTTTTTACTTTTTGTTTTGTTACCCAGGCATATTGACACGGCTAGAGTCGGGGATGTTTTGATCACTCAGTATACAGGGTGTCCGCAAAGTTGGGGTTTTCCTTTTCAGAAACAACTACCCTTGACATAACAAAGGTAATGTGTAGTGAAACGAGGGCGACCAAGTAAAACAAAAAAAAGAAAAAAGTACTCACTCTCCAGTTGACGAGAAGGGCTAAGTACGTCTCTGCCCAAAATCATACCGCTCCAACAGAAAATGAAATCAGCTGATGCGCTACCGAGTAGACGCCGGCGGTGGTGCAGACCAGTAGACCACGAACAGAGGTAACAAATATGACCATCGTGCAGAAACCACATTGATTGTCTTACACTTAATGGCACATCTTCTAACAAGGAAGGCAAAATGTTGCGTAAAAAGCCTAGGTATTGCATCCCGTCCAATTGATTTGGGAGAATAAATGGTCCAATGAGCATACCGTTCACCATGCCAGCCCAAACATTCACCGAAAATGTTTGTTGAAAATGTGCCCGACGGACAGCGTGCGGATTTTCTACTGACCAAACATGAGTGTTGCGAAAGTTATTCACCCCATTAAGCGTGAATGTAGATTCGTCTGTCACCAATATGCACTTCAACAAGTCCAGATTATTGTCATCTTGATGCAACAACCACTCACAAAACCGCACTCTTGCTGGAAAATCGTCAGGTTGAAGGGGTTGTACACGTTGGACGTGAAACGGATACAGCCCCTCTTCACGCAGCGTTTGCCACACTTTAGTTTTTGATACTTGCACTTCTCTAGCCACGTCTCTAGTGCTTGTTGTTTTTTGAAACGCAATCGGTTATACGGGTTCGTTTACCTCTACACGCGTGACCGTAACCGTCGGTTGAAGGTTGCATACTGACCTGACACACTGACCCCGACCCAGTTCTGTCGTCGGGTTGAGCCAGTGACCTTGTACCACTAGGTGATGTCGCGGGTCGCGGCTACAGGACGGTATTCAGATATTTTTGATGTTGCAGAGCCCTTTATCTCGGTTCCCTTAAGACATTGGTACTAAGAAAAATTGCTTATGTTTTCAAGGTCTACACGTCCTGTAAAGGAAAACCCCAACTTTGCGGATGTTCGCTTCCTGAAAAGGCTCCTCTTTTGACGTGTTCGCGCCAAATATGACATTGCAGCGCGAATAATACTCCGTTACCGTTAATAATAATAATGAATAGTTCTGTTGGCGCCATCTGTTGTGAGGCTCTCCTACTCGCCAGAGCTTCATGGCCGATCTGTATTTTTACGCGGATAACGACCGCACATGCCGCTTGGCGACATCTGTTGAGGACCGTGCCAGTAACTCGCCTTCTAGATCGACGCGAAGTGACCTCGACGATTCTGGAGGGCCGCTATGTGGCTCACCGGATTCTTCTCGATGCGGACTATATAACTCGACGCCGGGAGAGGAAAACAGAATAGAGTAGATTAGAGCAGAGTGGCGTACAGTTCACACAGTGGCGCGACACAAATAGTGATGTGCACAAATATTCTATCTAGTCAAGATAAATAAATTAGGGCATTTCTTTTTGTGGAATCCAGAGAACCACATGACCATACGATCAGACCCAGACAAGTCCCCACCTATACAAAATGACCTCGGTGCCAAAAGCAGGTATGTTCTGGACTTGCCTGATTAATGCTACAATACTTGAACATGCAAGTGAAATCCAATGTCATTTCGCATTAGGAGCGTTGGACTTATTTTAGCACCAAACGATCCGCAATGATCGAAATACTTAGAATATCCGTAATAGCAATTTTTGATAAAAATTGGACTTGCTTGATTCTTGCACCGAGGTCTTAATCATTGCCACTATCTCGAAAACGAAGCGGGCTCCTCGTATTGGGTTTCAGCGATCCAAAAAACGTATTATAAGAATGGATGAAGGCCGACGTTTCCGACTGACCCTTTTTTGCCTTTCTTTTAACGATACATGGTAAATAAAAATTAAGGTGCTTAAAATCCATTCTTATTTGTATTATCGAAGGCTATATGTAGGCGAAGCTTTGTACACTAAGGTAATTTGGGGCGCTGAATATGGGTACAGAAGAAGAATAAAAATAGGAGGACTATCTACGAGGGCGGTTCAACAAGTACCCGTGTTTGACGACGGAGGGCGATCCTGAGGGAATTTAATGTTATCATCGTGTGCTGCCATCTATCAGACGACGGCATAACAAATTTTAGACTGATTCACAGGTTAGTTTAGATTTGGCTACCATTCGAGTAACACGTGTTTCGTGATTTTCGCTAAAATGGAAAAAGAGCAGTATCGTGCAGACGTGGTTACCGAGGAAATCATTCAAAAAGTCCACGACATGATTCTCGCTGATCGACGAACGAAAGTGCGCGAAGGCGAACGGCAATCAATATTTGTCATGTACTAAAGCGCCGGAATCGGAAGTATCTAGCGGGCCACAGTGGTGATCCGGCTGACAATGCGAACTGGGATACAAGTCCAAAAGACAACTTGCTGTTTTCACTTTTGCAGTGGTCGATTCTGGTAATAGATCTCACTGGTTGCCGTCTTATTTTGATAGTCCCTATACTCTGTATAGACTTGCTCAGCTTTCGTCCATTGTCCACCGGAACCAAGCCTACACCATGCTGAAGAGTCGCCAAATAGCACAGAACAGCTGTCCATGATTGGCGGTCTCTGATCGGACAAACGAAAGATATACAGAGTGTTTCAGTTTATTGTTGCATAACTTTAAGGTTCCATAGAACTTTTAAAATTAATGCATAAAGTCTATATAAACATGGGTCGAAAAATGCGTGGCTTCCGAAATACAGGGTGTTTAAATTTACTTTCTAAAATAGTTTTTTTTAATATTTCGGACAATATTGATGTATAACAGTGAAAATTGGTATACAAGGGTTTTTTGGTACGAGAAAACGAACCATGGGCATAGTTTTACTGTAGCCGCTAGAGGGCGCTCTCTACTGTACCTGTAGTGGAATAAAATGACCGAAAAATTACCAGACTCCCGTAACCACAAGAGATATGCTAATAGACAGAATCAGAAATGCATGTGATGAAATAAGGCCTTATTTGAATAATGCTATACCACGTTCGATCATTCGTAGATGTGAATTGTGTATTGAACAATTGGGTTTACATTTCGAGCAACTACTTTAGATTTTGTATGTTTGTCCTAACTTTCCGATAGCATTTTTCCCATAAATAATTAAAAATGCATCGAACCTTAAAAATCGAAATATCTCAAAAACGGCTAACTATAACGAAAACTCACAAGAGAGCTTTTTTATGCAGAAAAGTGGGAAGAATCAGTTTTTTTATTCAAAGAGCAAAAAATTGCACTAAGAAAAAATTTTTGGTCATTTTAATACACTACAGGTACAGTAGAGAGCGCCATCTAGCGGCTACAGTAAAACTATTCCCATGGTTCGTTTTGTCGTACCAAATAACCCTTGTATACCAATTTTCACTGTTATACATCAAATATTGTTCGAAATATTTAAAAAAAAAATATTTTAAAAAGTAAATTTAAACACCCTGTATTTCGGAAGCCACGCATTTTTCGACCCATTTTTATATAGACTTTATGCATTAATTTTAAAAGTTCTATCGAATCTTAAAGTTATGCAACAATAAACTGAAACACCCTGTATTACTAGTTGAACGTTTATTCAGTATACCCTTGAGTAGATCGCATTGGTCAGTAGTAATCAATTTTGCATCGCAAATTCGCTTCTATATATTGAAAAACATAAAACCTCACGTGCAGATTTAATGAAGATTCCTCTTTTATGAACGGTTATAAAAATCTCGTACAATCAACAAAAGTCTATTAAACTCTGCTTTTAGCTTATTGCCAGAACTCAGAGCTAAAAGGATGAAGAATAGTTATTTACCTAACAAGTGCGGAAAACGATACTTTTCCGCAGACGAAGTGGAGTTCGGACCGCCAAGGGTGGAAAATATACTTTGCGCAAGTGTTAGGTATAAGATTTTAATAGCTCGTATCGCAAAACTGGTATGTGCCTTAAGCAGCGTTCTCACGAGTCGATTCAAGTTGATCAACGTAAGTTGATCAACTTAAATCGGAACGAGTATTTGTTCACGCACATAATGAAAATTGATGCGCTAGTTGTTTCTGAAATGGCTGCCAACGAAGTTGTCCTAGCAAGCATAGCAGCTATTTACGGATTATTAAATGAAGAAATCAGAGACATTTTGTCAAAATTTGACAGAAAATCTAGAAAACGTCGGTTTTGGGTAGGGACTTGGATATTGCGAGGAAATAAATTGGGCGTTTCAGGAACCCTGCTTTAGAGGACAAGGATGCCTACAAAAATTATTTGAGAATGCCCGAAGAACAATTTCAAGGACTTCTTCTAAAAATACAAAAACAAGATACCATTATGAGAAGATCCACTTTGTCCATTTCTTTTGATGATGATAGTTAAAGCGTTGTCTCTAGCATCCTTGTTTCGATAACTCTCGAGCCGGGTATTCCATAAACAGTCATGCTGTTTATATGAATCCAAAAAATGTAGCACAATACTTCCAGACCACTTCATGCTCATTTTTTGTCTTTTTTCCACGCACAACAAGCACACGAGCCACAAAATCGACTTTATTCAATGCGAAACTCGACTGACTACAGTTGACACGCTTTAAATCCATTTCAACTTGTCTGAAAATCGCCTATGACGCATTAAATTAAATCGTTCTATCCTTTATGGTCTGGGTCAGTATGTCATCAAAAGGAGTAGGAAAACTTCATTTTATTGATGGAAATGTGGATACAAACAAATATTTGGCAATTTTAGAAGAATCGCTTTTACCAGTGATTTACCAGCAAGATGGTGCAGCGTGCCATACCTCAAAAAAAGCTATAAAATGGATGGAAGAAAATAATGTACCACTTTTGAAATGGGTTTCTAGCAGTCCAGATCTGTCACCTATTGAAACCTTGTGGCACGAGATAAAAAAGGTTCTACGACAACAGCCTGCTCGTACAATCACCGAACTGAGACAAAAGCTTCAAGAAATATGGGATTGTTTTACACCAAATTTTTGCCAAAACTTGGTTAACACTATGCCCCAAAGAATTTCAGCCGTAATAAAAAATAAAGGTGATGTTACCCAATGGTAATCTTTCAATTGTTGTAAATAGTTTCGTCATGTTTAGTTCATTTTGGTACAAATCTTGAAGTGGTCCAACTGAAGTGGGAAGGGGCTCGTAACTACTTTATTAGTTTTTTAAAACCGTTGTTGACATGGTGATGCAGATTTCCAAAAGTTGAAGTCAATGACAGTATATTTTTGTAAAATATTTACAGGTACTACTAAAATTGATAGACAAGTTATTAAAAAGTGAAAAAACAGGAAATAGAACGTTAATGTTGAACAAAAATCTTGTTGCATCGATAAGAAAAATGATTCCTTGAGCAAGGTCTAAAAAAAGTGAATGCCAAGAAACCACAAAAAAACGACACTCCAAAATGGTGAGAATCAACGAATTTATTATACAGGGTGGGCCAACAGTGCATGGGCGGACGAAAAAGCTTCTTAATTTTCTAAAATAAGTCGAGCAGCGGAGAAAAAAGCCAAAAACAAAAAAAAACCTTGTTTTTGACGTTTCAGGATCCTGTTCATATTAAAAAAAAATTAGTTGTAAAAAATTTGGGGGTGGGCATTGTAGGGGGATGAAAATTATTCTCAGCACGAAGATCGGGTACCAAACGGCGGCGTCTACTTCTGCTACCAGCGGCGTGACGGACCTAATAATATCTAAGGCTAATTATACAGTTTGTTTCAGTTTATTGTTGCATAACTTTAAGATTCGATAGAACTTTTAAAATTAATGCATAAAGTCTATATAAACATGGGTCGAAAAATGCGTGGCTTCCGAAATACAGGATGTTTAAATTTACTTTCTAAAATAGTTTTTTTTTAAATATTTCGAACAATATTTGATGTATAACAGTGAAAATTGGTATACAAGGGTTTTTTGGTACGACAAAACGAACCATGGGCATAGTTTTACTGTAGCCGCTAGAGGGCGCTCTCTATTGTACCTGTAGTGTATTAAAATGACCGAATATTTTTTCTTAGTGCAATTTTTTGCTTTTTGAATAAAAAAACTGATTCTTCGCACTTTTCAACATAAAAAAGCTCTCTTGTGAGTTTTCGTTATAGTTAGCCGTTTTTGAGATATTTCGATTTTTATGGTTCGATGCATTTTTAATTATTTATGATAAAATAACGTTAAAAAGTCAGTATCTCGATAATTTTTAGAAGTAGGCTGTGCCTGCAAATATTTTTGAAATTGAAAGCAGAATAAGGTTAAACGTCAATTAGTTGACAGATAGTTTTGTTGTCTGTTGAAACCTGAAACGTTTTTTTGCAATTGTGAATGCACGAAATTTAGTTTCTTTTACCTTTTTTCATAAAAATGCCATTTTTATTCTCCAATCAAGAGTTAGCGGATATTCATTTTGTGTATGGCTTTGTAAATGGAAACGCAGCAGAAGCAGCCAGAGAATACGCACGAAGATTTCCAAAAACACGACATCCAACTCGCTCAGTATTTGTAAGAGTGCATCGCCAAATAATTGAAAATGGTTTTGGAAATCTCCAAACGGATCAAAACATAAATGTTCATCAGCGCAGATTTACCCGTATGATTCTGCGTGAGTTTGATAGAGATCCCACCACAAGTGTTAGGAGAGTTTCTGGTGCCTTGGGAATTTCAGCAAGCCATGTTCACCGTGTTCTTAGAAATGACCATAGACGTCCTTACCATTTGCAACATGTGAAAGGACTACAGCCAGGGGACGGAGAACGAAGAATCACATTTTGTCAGTGGATTCTTGATAGAACTGATAATAATAGGGAGTTTTTAAGTAACGTTTTATGGACCGATGAGTCATGCTTCACTAGACGTGGAGTGGTAAATTTTCATAATCAACATTTGGTCGCATGATAATCCGCATGCAGTTCGGTAAAGAAATTTTCAGCATGAATTTAGTGTGAACGTGTGGATTGGTATCTACCGTAATCGACTATTTGGCCCCTACCTTTTGCCTGCAAGGTTAAATACTGCGACCTTCTTGGAATTTTTAAAGGCTGAACATGCAAATATGAGGGATGATGTTATGTTAGATTTAAGAAGATTGGCCTGGTTCCAGCTTGATGATTGTCCAGCTCATTATTAAAGAATAGTTAGAAACTGGCTGGACAAAAATTATCCAGAAAGATGGATCGGCCGTGGAGAGACCAGTCGCCTGGCCTCCACGATCCCCTGACCTAAATCAATTAGATTTCTTTGTGTGAGGATTTCTAAGAGAAAAAGTGTACCAGACTCCCTTAACCACAAGAGATATGCTAATAGACAGAATCAGGAATGCATGTGATGAAATAAGGCCTACGTTCGATCATTCGTAGATGTGAATTGTGTATTGAACAATTGGGTTTACATTTCGAGCAACTACTTTAGATTTTGTATGTTTGACCTAACTATCCAATAGCATTTTAGTTGTAAATAATTAATTTAATTTGTTAAAAATAATATTGGAAAATTAAACAAATTAATATTCTGTTTTTTTGTGTTTATTTGGAGTTAGGAATTATTGCTGTGTTTAAAAACACAATCTAAACGATCATCTTAATTACTTTTAATGCCCAAATCGTAAAAGTAAAAAAAAATATTATTTTCCCATAGATAATTAAAAATGCATCGAACCTTAAAAATCGAAACATCTCAAAAACGGCTAACTATAACGAAAACTCACAAGAGAGCTTTTTTGTGTTGAAAAGTGCGATGAATCAGTTTTTTTATTCAAAAAGCAAAAAATTGCACTAAGAAAAAATTTTCGGTCATTTTAATACACAACAGGTACAGTAGAGAGCGCCCTCTAGCGGCTACAGTAAAACTAATGGCTCGTTTTGTCGTACCAAAAAACCCCTGTATACCAATTTTCACTGTTATACATCAAATATTGTTCGAAATATTTAAAAAAAAAAACTATTTTTGAAAGTAAATTTAATCACCCTGTATTTCGGAAACCACGCATTTTTCGACCCATGTTTATATAGACTTTATGCATTCATTTTAAAAGTTCTATCGAATCTTAAAGTTATGCAACAATAAACTGAAATACCCTATAAACCTGTTTGACTTTTTTCACAGAAGGTCAAGTTTGTACTAAGCACAATCCTTTATGAACCGACAACGACGTTACGTAAGTACAAAGTCAACCTACTTAACGCCATTTTTTATAGGATCTCCTCCGCCTACGTAACACATCTACAACCAGCTACACATGCTAATAGAATCCAACACAAACGATCCGAACAAACACACAAACACTCAAGAAATTCTAATGCCTATTGATTTCGGTGCGGCGTCTAAAAATAAAAATAAGCGGAAACATCGTCGGCCTACGATCTGGTTACCTGTGAAAATCCTTTGCCTGGCTTGCAACACCTGATTCCGGTGCCGAACCCTGACGCACAGGTGGATCATCAAGAACATCATGACGTTCATGATGATGCTCTGGATCAGCAACGGGTACTCGAAGTGCTTGCCGAACCTTGAAAAATAGGATAACAAAAATTCGTCGGGATGGGTTATTTCGAAGATGTCCGATCTTATAAGCACAAGCCATCTAATTTATACAACGAAGTGTAGTAGTTTTTTTAAAATAATCATTCGATCTCAATGAGAGTGAAGTTTTGGCCGGTGGGGGGAGATAGTACAACTCAATCTGAGTCGATTTTACTATAGAAACTACTGTACTATACAAATTTTTAAGATTTTATAAAATTAACGTCCTGTATAGGTCATAAAACTTGAAAATTGGGTGTTTCATTTGATTTCTTTTTTGTTTTACAATAAGAATATTCTAAAATACGAAAATTGATACTCAAATGTATACTTTATCTGAAGTCACTTGAAATAGCATAAAAACCTTTGGTCGGCGCGTCCTTTGTAATTTCATGACGTATCATAGGCGTGCGGTCATTTATTTAGAACGATAATAATAATGTTTTTATATCACAATAAATGGATTTTACTATCTTCTTATTTTTTTTGATTTGGGATAAAAAATACTTATATTGGGAGTTTAATTTATGTTGACTGAAAGTTAAGAAATGGAAAAATTACAGAATTCCAACGTTTGACATAGGCAAATATTTACATAGCAGGTAGGTATATAAAAAGGTATACAAACACTTACATTATAGGTATTTATATATCATCCTCGCCTTCGGAGCTGTCGCTAGAGTCATCTTGTACAGGAATTACAAAGGGATTTACAGGAGGCAAAACACAATATTCATTTTCTTTTTCAATAATATGCCTAGAACACTGCTTCCATAGGTCTGTGGCAGCAATATGAGATACTGCATCTCTTATTGTGGCTAATAGCGATTCACTTAATTGAGGGGTCTGATTATGTTTTCTTACTTTTTTTTAAAGCAGCCCAGACCAACTCAATCGGGTTAAAAATGCAGTAATAGGGAGGTAGACGTAATACTTCATGGCCATTTTGCTGAAGCAGATTGTCAACAACATACTCTTTTTCAAATTTTTGTCATTTAATAAGATCCAATAATATGGCTTTGGTTGATTTTTGTGGTATTTCCATTCCCTTATCCTTCATAAAATCAATATTGTCTTGTTTTTTTGTGCCTGTATTCGGAATTTTGTTTTTCTGTCGGGAATGGTATGGCGCATTGTCCATAATAATCACTGAATTTGGGGAAATGTTTGGTATTAACTGCTGCTCTATCCACTTTTCAAATAAGTCGGAGGTCATGTCCTCATGATAGTCGGCACATGATTCTTTGATATTTTTGGCAGATAACAGCAAGGCATTAGGTATAAATCCATTTTCACTGCCAGCATGGAGAATAATGATTCGTTTTCCACGGTTGCATGGTGCATTTAAAATGCACTTGTTGCTGTCGTCAACCCAGCCGTACTGCACAACATCATGGGTATCATACCACGTTTCATCCAGGTAAATCAGATTTCTTTTCTGCTCTCTATAGATTTTAACTTTGTGCAAAAATTCTTGGCGCAATTCAACGATTCGAGACGACTCCATAATCACCATTCTTTTATCTAATTTTTTGTATTGAAAACCACACAGTTTTACAATACAGTGCAGTGAGTCTAAGCATTTGTAATTATAAAAATCTTTAGGATAATCTTTTAATTTATCCCGTATCATTTCCAACGAGGGCACCAAATTTTCTTTATAAAATCCGTATATTATACGACGAATATCTTCCTGAAAACCCACGTCTATTCTTTTTAATTTTTGCCCTATGCGCTTTCTGTGGAAGGAATGGTTGACTACATCTCCCCTTTTTATAACCCGATAAATGGTAGACCGACTGCTTTTTGTCAGGATACAAATTCTGTTTAAAATTTGATTTTGCGAGGAATCTGGATTTTCGTTTTTCAGACAATCATACATATTTAGGATTACTCTTTGGGTCTGTTCCTCTAAATCTTTATGAAAGAATTCTGCCTGCACAGGTTCATCAACCATCTCCTCGAGGCTTGGAGCATGTTCCCAAGGTCTCCAAAGAGCCATATTTAGGACACACAAGAACAATCAACACAACAATTAAATCAACAAGTAAACTGAGTATTCAAAAGTCAAAAACACACAAACTAATAAAATCTATGAAAAAACACGGACAGACTAAAGAAAACACGTTTATTCACCGCTACACGGCACTGGCTAAACTGTTTCAATTTTCAGTAGCCACCTGCACTTGTTCGGAGCTCTGAAATACACGCTTTCTCATTGGCTATGTCTACGCATAGGCGTGCTTTACTCCACGTGGACCGGTGAAACTGCCTTTGATCTTATACGGGGGATATTTGCTGCGAAATTTGGCGATTTTTGCAGCAACAGAGCGTGTTAAATATAGATATATAAAACGCACCCGGTATTTCACAGTGTTTCAAGTGACTTCAGATAAAGTATACATTATTGACGTTATCTCATGCAGTAAGCTTCAAAATAGTTCAATTTTTGTTAAAAAAAATCTGCTTTCATCTCAAAAACTCAATTTACTAGAAACAATCACCTAAAAATTTTTCGTGCAAAACAATTTTAAAATATCTACGTTTCATTACCTTTCAAATGAGGTATCAAAGTCAAAAACCGGTTTAGAAATGACAAAGATATGAGTGAAAGAAACAGGTAGAGCGGCGAACATCGGACTTTGCCACCGGAATAATCTGATAAGTAAGACTAGTCACCCCCCTCCCTCCCTCGCTTCAATCTGCTCTTGCGGTTTGTTGCGTTCTACAGTGGGGCAGAATACTAAAAAGCTGGCCAAAAATCAAACTTTTGAGTGATATATATCCGTCTATATACGATTAGATCTTGTTTACGGATAGTCCTAGAATGAAATTCCGGCCCGGGCAGGTATATACTTGCTCTAGGGTCGCCTTGACATCAGTCGACATTCAGCCGTCGTTCGATACGCACTAAGCAAGTGTACACGTCGAAAAATTCTGGCCTGTTTCGAAGTGCTGTAAAACGGACGAAACTATCTCAGTTTGAATTGTGCAAAGTCTAATCACTTTCTGAAGGTATGCAGAATATATATACTAAGTGACATATAAATCCGAACACCCATTTTAAATGGTTTTATTTTAATAAAAGTTGGTGAATGTATTTATCTTACTGTAAATAACAAGTGAAAAAATGTTCAGCCTTATCAGTTGGACATTCCGGTTTTTATACTGTTTTTTTTTTAATTCACTAACGCTCTAAAAATGAATATTTCAGCCGCAGTAAAGAATCAACGTTGGCGGATTTTGGTTCTTGACATCCTTTACGATCGGTTACGATGCCTAGAGTGCGGAGACCTGTACGATTTCGTCAACTTAGTGAGTTTGATAGGGGCCGTATAGTGGGACTTCGGGAAGCTGGACTTTCTTTTCGGGCAATTGCAGTTAGAGTGCAAAGAAGTGTATACACTGTGGTCAGGTGTTGTCAGGCATGGCTTCGAGAAGGCCGTACGCAAAGAGCAAGGGGCACTGGACGCCGCCGTAGAACAACAGACCGTGAAGATCGCCGCCTGAGATTATTGGCCTTAAGGGACCGTTTCTCCACTACCAGGTCCATTGCAAATGAATGGTTTGCAGAACACGGAAGACCTATTGGCATGCGAAGTGTTTACCGACGAATGAGAAGTTTTGGCTTGTTTTCAAACCGGCCACACTGGGTCCTCCCTTTAACTCGAGAACACCGACGTAATCGCCTTGAGTGGTGCAGACAATGGTCACTCTGGGATCAGGAATGGAACAGTATTGTCTTTAGTGACGAGTCTCGATTTTGTTTAGGCATGCACGATGGTCGTGCCAGGGTTAGAAGGCGACGTGGTGAAAGGAGGAATCCACAGTTCTTTGTTGATAGACATGTTCATCACACTGTTGGAGTTATGGTTTGGGGTGCTATAGCTTATGGTTCCAGGTCACCTTTAATCTTCATCAGAGGTAACATGAACGCACAGCGTTATATCCACGAAGTTCTAGAACCCCCCCCCCCCTTTTTACCCTATCTTGACACCCTGGCAGATCCAACTTTCCAACAAGATAATGCCCGACCACACCAAGATCTCCCGACTTATCCCCAATTGAGCACGTGTGGGATATGATGGGTAGGAGATTGCTCAATTTGCACCGTCCTCCTCAGACTCTAGAAGCACTTTGAGAGGAGTTGGTGGTTGCCTGGAATGAGATCCCACAGGAGGACATTGACCACCTGATCAGAAGCATGCCTAGGCGCGTTGGAGAATGCGTAGCACATCAGGGTGCATCCACACATTATTAAAGGTCAAAGGGCTTTAAAGCAGTGCAATCATTTTGAAATTTTTATCATTTACTTATTATGCTTCATTAAGTACTTATAGAAAATTTTATTAAAATAAAACCATTTAAACTGGGTGTTCGAATTTATATGTCACTTAGTATAGTTATGCACAGTTGTTGCTTATTTTATGTTTGAAATATTTAAATTTTACAACAAATAAACATAAACAATTGTACATTTTTTTCTAAAATCGATTTTCTAAAGTAGCTTTAAAAATGTCTTCGCGAGTCTCGATCTTGTTTCGACAAGGAAGTGATAGTGTATAGTATGAAATATAATATAGTAAAAATCTGGCTGCTCAGGAGTGCTCAACGAATAGTTAGACTAATTTTTAGGTAGAAATACGTGGCGCGACATTAATGGACGTGTGACTGTAATACATGATTATTACCGATCGGACAACCTTCTGAAGAGGCCCAAGAGTCACGCAATAAGGACATTAAAAACCACAGATTAAATAATGGAAGAAAATGCTCTAGAGAATCGAATTTGAGAGATATCTTCAATAGGCTCTTGGTAACATCAGATCCATTTCTCTCAAGCGTCAGGAAATTGCCCCAGAGACCGGCGAAATATTTACATAAAGAAGCTCTACAATTGTTAAAAACAACCCGAAGTCACCAGACAAGAGACAAGGAACAATTCCGATTTAGTCAGCATCCGAATCGAATGATTCGAACATTGAAGATGACGTACAAGATTTTTGTTACTAGAAGTAAATAACAGATATTCATTTTGTTTCAAATTTTCAATAAAAGAAATTTTTGATAAATAAAAAACATTACTCGAAAGATTTTTTACTCATGAAAACCTAAAAATATTATAAAATATATTCTATTTAAAAATATTAAAAAATTAAAAAAAAATCCTGAATCCTCCATATATCGCGTCTGCTATTTTGAAAATTAACATTTTGATAACCAATTCGTAATCAGCGATTCCAAAAACAATAACAAATACAATTGGGTATTTTTACTGGATTATTTGACTAATTGGTTAAATCATGTCCGCCATTTTGGGTCCGCCATTTTGAAAATCGTAATTCTGATAACAGATTCATATTCAGCGACTCCAAAAACCTCCGAGAAGAGAATTTGAGATCATTTACGATACTTTCTGAATTTTGGCCAGCTTTTTGGGATTCTGCCCCACTGTGCGTTCCGCTCGGATGTGCTTGTTTGCTCGCTGTTTTGATATTTCTAACGACTTGGCTCTTGTTGGACTTCCGTGTGTGATTCTTTTCCTGACGACCTAGACTGTACCCTGTTTTCTGTGATTCCTTACGACTTGATTGTTCGTTGATCTACCTATCGATGAACAATGGCTGATGAACAAAGGAGGCGGCCGTTCAGTTTCGAAGAATATGCCGATATCCTTTTCTGCTATGGAGATGCCAGAAGCAATGCTGAAGAAGCACGTCGTGAGTATGGGGAAATGTTTCCCAATCGTCGCCTACCTGACGCCCGCGTATTTAGGCAAACGCGTTGTGGCTCGACGGCTGGATTATCCCAATGGCAAGTGTGGAATATGTTTTGCATGAACACTACACACCTGTGCATGTCATAGAGGAAGGAGATCCCATGAGGCGCACGCAATTTTGTCGTTTTATTTTAAACGCTGACGTTGATGATAGCAATTATTTAAGAAAAATTCTATGGACCGACGAATCAAAATTTGATAAAGACGGCATAACAAACTACCATAACACTCACTATTGGCGTGAACGTGCAGTGGGAAATCCTCATATGAAGAGACCAAAAGGATCTTAAAGGCGATTTTGTCTGAATGTCTGGATGGGCATTATAAATAACTGCTTGGTAGGACCACATTTCCTACCCGACAACTTGAATGGAGAAGCCTACGAAAATTTCTTAAGAAATGTTCTTTTTGAATTACTTGAAGACGTGCCGCTACATACAAGACAGAATGATTTTTCAGCATGACGGGTGCTCAGCACATTTCAGACTAAGTGTTAGAAATTGGTTAAATGAGCAGTTTCCGAATCGATGGATCGGTAGAGGCGGACCATTATTTTGTACGAAAAATTTGTATGCGACTTTTTCTAGTAAACTGAAGCTTTTGAGATGAACGAATATTTTTTTAACAAAAATCGAACTATTTTGAAGACTACTGCATGAGATAACGTCAATAATGTACATTTGAGTATTAATTTTCGTATTTTAGAATATTTTTGTTGTAAAACCAAAAAAAAAAATCAAATGAAACACCCAACTATCAAGTTTTATGACTTTGTGGACGTATAAAGGACGTTAGTTTTATAAAATCTTGAAAATTAGTATAATTCCAAAAAAAATGGCTAATTTTCGGACAGCTCTCGTAGTTCCTATAGTAAAATCGACTCCGCATCTATTTTCCCGTCACCCTGTAGATTCCGATATGGGCTTTCTGGGTTAGAGCGAAGTAGACGTTGGATTGAGTTATTCTACAAGGTGTTCGAAAAACAGACGGATATTTCAGAGTGTGATTCCTTGAAAAAAAGATGTAGGGTAATACATTTAAAAAAAATTACACGATTCTGTTGAAATTTGGCATTATTATTTGTTGTATTAAGAGGCTTTTAGACTTGAACAGATGAAAATTATTAGGCCGAGTGGGCTCCCGGTGGGCAACTTAGCGAATATCATTGGAAAAAATGTACGTCACTGCCTTTTTTGTAACTTTAATATTTTTTGTTTGATTAAGAATCTAAAAATACAACTTCTTTGCCCCTTGTATTTTTTTCGTATCTCACTGCGTTTTCGATAAAAAAAAATAAAAAACTTTTTATTGCATGCCTCTGGAGAAAATTGGTTTAATTTTTGCTAAAAAAATCACAAGTACCTTGGAATACAAAAAATCACCTGCATGGCGGTTTGACATTTACGCGTCCGTTCTTCTAGAAAATAACTATTCACGTAATTTTCTTTGCGAAATTTCTCTAAAAAGTTTTTGTCTCGGTTTTTGTGATGGAAAATTACACTTTTGAGGAAATGACAAACATGCATGTAATGGATGCACATGCTTATAGTAACTTTTATGGAACGAGGCTTCTGTAGACAGAAGCGTTTTTTTTTTAATTTATTACCCTATACCTTGAAAAGTCTGCATTTCCGGACCCGTGTTTATAGAAACTTTTTTTCATATTCTTCACCCTCTAAAACATCTCCGTCTATTTTTTGAACAGCCTGTAGTGCGATGAACAGATAAACGTAGTATAGAGTAATGAGAAGTTTAGGATCTATACGTTTTGGCTGATGGATCGTTGGGAAATAAAGCAACTTTTATGATTTACCATTTCTTCTTTTTCGCATTTACTTATTAAGTAAATTCTTTTAGTCAAATTTCTTCTGAAAGTAGTACAAACTAATCTGATGTACCTATTAAAGTCTACTTTAAGCTTTAAATCAATGAATCTTCAAAACTACTGAACTGAAGCTCATGTATTTTACATCATTATAAAGGGAATTGAAAAACCTTTAAAATAAGGTATTACTCTACCCCCTTTCCATTTAAGATTTTGGGGGTGGTGTCACCCCCGCTTAGGGGGCTGCACGTTCTAACGTGATCTTTTGCCAAACTTGTGTCCCCCACGAAAACAAAATCGACGGGTCTGAGCGTTTTCCCAAAAAAAAACTGAGCTGCCAGTAAATGTGTTTCGTTTTCGATGCGCCACCCTGTATACCCAGAATCAGTATGACAAAACAGGACACACATTCATGAGTCAAAGCTAAATGTTATAAAAAAAGGTTCAAATGAAAAAATAATTTGAAAGAATATCGGAAGCTAAGAAACAGTTTTTGCACTTGACTACCCCCAAACTGTGTGCCTTTATTTTGGCCTTTATGAAAAAAGTTTACTCTAAACATCTGATCAACATTTTTTTTTAATAAGATATGCCAGAGATTGGAACATTTCCCTTGCACTAGAGAACATGATGTTGTATTAGGAAAGCTGTCTTTATGATTTATTAAGATATTTTTTCCTTATTCATAGCTATGATCTTATTATCTTTACAGGATGATTCAATGCATCAGTCTAAGGTTAATAGTGGGATAATGTAAGCTCTGCTCTTTTTTTTGTAATTTGCCCTAGGATAAGCTTGAAATTAATATATAACTCATATTTGTCCCATTTCTTTTTTAAATGAATAATGTTTCAAAGACGATATAGATATAGCTATTGTTTTAATGATAAGATTTTTAAAATGTATCTGATAAACTTATGATAAAAGATAAAAATCATAATTGTTGATGTGGCCATATGATCAGCAAATATCCTGAATGAACTTTAGACAGTGTTTAACTATGTAATCAACCAAATAAATCTCACTGAAGATAAAGAACTGAAAGAAAGTTCAATTGGCAGGTTTATTATAATCATAAGGGTATAAGGGATGAAATGAATTTAACATTGGACATGGAAATGAGCATAAGCGGATAGAGGCACAGTACTATTCATACCAAAACATGATTCTGAGTGTGTTTGCAATGAGCAGCGCCAGACAGACGAGCAGGGAGAACCCTTCCGCATCCTTGGTCTTCCTGATCTGTCTATACTGGGGTATGTAAGGGATGACCCCGCCGATAATCATTGCTCCGGCGCTAATCCACCCTACAACCGTGCCCACGGTCAGGGACAGCTCGTCCGAGATCACCCAGTCCATCTTGCTCACTGTCCCCCGAACCGAGCTGTAATTTTCGAGTCGTTTTTCACATTGTTTGCTCCGATTTCCGGATTTCGAGCGACCCGTACATCTCACATCGACTCGCCAAACGTCACTGAGCTTGCGGTTGTCAAAAATGACTGGAAACGGGTTGGTGGGTGGCAGCTGTCACGCACATGCGTGACGTCGGTTGTGGCTTGTGGCACAAATTGCTTTAGACGAGCCGTTTACAAGAAGCTACGAAAAAAAGATATTTGATCATTTGCCTCAGGAAGCACAAAATTCTGAAGCCCTGGATGAATGTTTTGATGATCCTAGTATGGTGGAAGATAATAAAGGGCGATATTTGGCCCTAATCAATATATTCGTAAACAGACTATACGTGAAAAGGTAGAGTCAAACAAACATCTGAATGTCGAAAGCTATATTTGCCTCCCCCAAAAACATTATTTCATCCTCCCCAAAAATTATCAGGAGAAAATTATGCTCGATATTAAGAATGCTATAGCAAACATGAATAAAAATTGTTGTTTGCTCTCATACTTGACGGTTGCGAAAGTACAAACAAAATAAATGTAAAGGTCTTTTAACGGATTTTGGTATGACTTGTCACAGGGTAGACGTAGCTAGCATTATGAATACATTATTTCAAAAATATCAACAAAGATAAATTACTTCTATAGTGTCTCCCATAATCTCACTATGTATTCAAAAAAAAAATGTTTCTAACACTATAATTCTTCCTAATTTATTATATTTTTCAACCTTCTTGTTTGCAGCAAATGGAAACATTTTCAAAATTACACATTCTACGAAATAAAGCTATGAGAATCATTTTAAATGAAAACAAATATGCTTGGATTAAGTCTATGTTAAAAGAACTACAGTGGCTGAATGTAAGGAAATTCAGATATTATTTAAATCTCATTTTCAAATTCAAATTAAAAAATCATTAATACCACTACAGAAAACTTTACAAAATTAAATAGTCATTATCATAACTATGAAACTAGAGGCATTATACAGGGTGTCCGCAAAGTTGGGGTTTTCCTTTACACGACGTGTAGATCTTGAAAACATAAGCAATTTTTCTTAGTACCATATACACCAATGTCTTAAGGGAACCGAGATAAAGGGCTCTGCAACATCAAGAATATCTGAATACCGTCCTGTAGCCGCGACCCGCGACATCACCTAGTGGTACAAGGTCACTGGCTCAACCCGACGACAGAACTGGGTCGGGGTCAGTGTGTCAGGTCAGTATGCAACCTTCAACCGACGGTTACGGTCACGCGTGTAGAGGTAAACGAACCCGTATAATCGATTGCGTTTCAAAAAACAACAAGCACTAGAGACGTGGCTAGAGAAGTGCAAGTATCAAAAACTAAAATGTGGCAAACGCTGCGTGAAGAGGGGCTGTATCCGTTTCACGTCCAACGTGTACAAGCCCTTCAACCTGACGATTTTGCAGCAAGAGTGCGGTTTTGTGAGTGGTTGTTGCATCAACATGACAATAATCCGGACTTTTTGAAGTGCATATTGGTGACAGACGAATCTACGTTCACGCGTAATGGGGTGAATAACTTTCGCAACACTCATGTTTGGTCAGTAGAAAATCCGCACGCTGTCCGTCGGGCACATTTTAAACAAATATTTTCGGTGAATGTTTGGGCTGGCATGGTGAACGGTATGCTCATTAGACCATTTATTCTCCCAAATCGATTGGAAGGGATGCAATACCTAGACTTTTTACCAACATTTTGCCTTCCTTGTTAGAAGATGTGCCATTAAGTGTAAGACAATCAATGTGGTTTCTGCACGATGGTGCACCGCCCCATTTTAGACGCGAAGTGCGTGAGTTTTTGAATGAATTATTTCCGAATAGGTGGATCGGACGTAATGGACCCGTAGCGTGGCCTCCGCAATCTCCAGACTTAACACCATATGATTTTTTTCTTTGGGGAGAAATGAAACGCTTAGTGTACAAAACTGAAGTGCATACGGTTGACGAACTTCGTCTCAGAATTGAACAAGCTGGTGCTTTCATTCGGGGGAGGGACTCCATTCTCAAAGCCTGCACCGATGCTTGGCTACGTCGTGCACGCACCTGTGTTTTTGAATCAAACGGCGATAACTTCGAACAATACCTATAAAGTACGTTTACCTAAAAAATGAAAAGACGGCAACGCCGTCATATTTGTTACCTCTGTTCGTGGTCTGCACCACCGCCGGCGTCTGCTCGGTAGCGCATCAGCTGATTTCATTTTCTGTTAGAGCGGTATGATTTCGGGCAGAGACGTACTTAGCCCTTCAAGTCAACTGGAGAGTGAGTACTTTTTCCTTTATTTTTTTACTTGGTCGCCCTCGTTTCACTACACCTTACCTTTGTTATTTCAAGGGTAGTTGTTTCTGAAAAGGAAAACCCCAACTTTGCTGACACCCTGTATATTTTCATCTGCAAAATTGTAGCAGTAGCATAACTAGCAAATCTGTTTCAAAGCGGAGTGTTTCAACTTTATAGATTGAATACTATTAAACGGTGTTCGAATTTAAAAATGTTTAAGGTGAAATTAATAAATCGCTTTATGAATACTCAAAATGTATACTGGTGAAATAATAATAGACAAGAATGTAAAACTACCGAAAATTGAAGAAGCATATACCTCACAGAAACATATGTAATCGGTCTCCTCAGTGATGGGTATTTACAGCATAATGCAATCTTAGGGAGGTTAAGCTTCTCGCATGGTCCCTTTACTCAATCTGCTAGTTATTTCACATGACATTTTGACGTAACAATTAAAACTGTTTCAGGACACGGATCCCTATCCACAGCCAAAACATGGCAATTGACGTTTCACCGACAGTGACGTTTAAAAGTTGGGTTAGAATAGGATGTAACAGGAAAACTTAAAATTTCTGCATTTCGTGCAATTAAAATAATGTCTACAGGTGCAGATAAATTTATATAAAGTAAATCGTAATCTTGAAGAACGACCACAATCTATACATGTAAAATTTAAGGGGTGACAATGTTCCCAGCAATAAGAATCGTAAATCCATCTCTGCCGCGTTACCATCAATTGGCAAAACTTTCACCTCTGCTTTACCAGAAATTGATCAGAAGATACAAAAGCACCAAAACTGGAGAACTATCCACAAGCACTCGCTCGGAAGTCACAACAGATGTGAAGCCGATTGGTGAAAAGGTCAAAGAGGCAACCAAAACTGTATCGTACCTTGGAGTCATCCTCGTAGGAGTTGGAGTCACTGGAACATTATTCTACGCCGTTTTCAATGAACTATTTTCTAGCAAGAGTCCTAATAACATTTATTCGAAGGCAGCTAAAAGGTGCATCGAGGATTCTAGAGTAGAAGATAAATTAGGCTATCCTATCACGACATATGGTGAACAAACTAGGAGAGGTAGAAGACAGCATGTTTCTCATGTCACGTACGTTGGAAAGGATGGAAGGAAACATCTCAGGATGAAATTCCACCTGAAAGGAGCTTTTCATACAGGAACTGCACATTTGGATATGTTTGAAGTGAGTATAATCCATACAATATAGTAAAACATACAAAATTCCTAAATCGTGATTGAATCTATGGAGATTATTTAGTGATAGGTAAAGGTTTGCCTCAAAAATGTTTAGTATTTGTCACCCCCACACAGTGATGGTTGGTAACTGAGAAACTTGTATATAATTTTTTTTGTGACTTTATTTGAAGAAATATCTGTAAGGTCATTTCACACACAGTTTGAAATTCAATAATCAGAATTAGAAGCATTGCTCTCAAGGATATTATAAAGCCACTCACCATAGTTACAATGTATACATATTATCTATGCTTTGTCTACATCAAATTGTAGACCATAAAATTAATTGTTAGGAATTTATTTTTTATAGCTACTTATTAAGTGATCATATTAAGTTATCTTTCTTTTTATTTCAGAATGATTCTGGAGATTATGAATACCGCTACCTCTTTGTTCAAGTGGACGACATGCTGAAAAACACCATAATCCTGGAGGATAACAGAACCCAATTGCCCAACTCATTTCTTCCATCTTCACCATCCTATGAGGATTTGAAGTTTTGAGCTCAAATAAAATTCACGTTTCTCAAAAATACCTTTATTTAACTGAAAATCAAGTAATGATTTGGCGTTAAAGTTTTTTTTTCAGTGGTGTCTCCTCATAGTAGAGCACCAATCTTTTTTTGAAAATATATCCTTTAAATTTTGTTATTACCCAACTCACAATGATGTACACCGAAAAATACTGCAACCATGCACATTTGAGCATATGCCAGAAGCCAGGTTCATAGTAGATATTTACTTCTGGAAATCGGACTGATAGGTTTAAGTTGAATTTATCTTTGTTTTCCATCTTCATGGTTGTATATACGTTTTTTAGATGTGTAGATACTGAAAAATAAATATTTTATTAATTTGTACAATTTGTTTCAATTTTATGGTCAAAAATAGTCCCTTTGTTTGGTCCTTAATAAGATTACTCATTTATGTTTCGTATGTCTTGAGGTACCAACAAAGTTTGACATACGAAAGTAAGCGCTTATTGCAGGGGTTTTTTTGTGAAAAAAGGCCAAAAAGTCTTTTGTCTGTTGTTTAAGTTCCAATCAAAAACTAAAACAATTTTGCATCTATGTTTATCTCGTGACTACTTCAAAAACTATGGCACGTCCCTTTTTTATATTTTTTAACAACTTTATGTTTGCAGCGGTATTCTAAATCCTTTTCATCTGATAATTTCATGGTGTGTATAGATGATTAAAAAACAATGTTTTAATTTTTTTTGTCAGAAAATGTGTGTGAATATACCTCTTTTATAAAAGAATGAAACGAGTGATTACTTTTGTTCTTATCACTTTTCTTTTTCGAAAAAACTTCGCTTGTCTTGAAAACTTACTGCGAGACGAGGCTACAAAAAAATCAAAGATTTTTTGAAACGGAAAAGTGATCAGAACAAAAGTAGTCACTCATTTCATTCTTCCATAAAAGAGGAGGAAGATGAAAAAAAGGGATGTACCACCTCAACCCCTCTGTGGACTGGAGTCATGTACTGTAATAATAATGTCATTGAGAAAATGATCATAGCATGGCGAAATATTGTTATGAGTGAAAACACGCACCATTTTTTGCCAGATACTTGTCCATTATAGTTTCGAACAAATAATCATCCATTTTCCCAGAACTTGTTATAACAGGATGATCGTGAAGTCTTTGCTCTCTGTTTAAACATCGTAAAGCGTGTCTCTGATACAATTGCAGATCAGCTGTCATTTTTAAAGTCGTTGACTGTTTGTGAAAGTAGTGTTGGTGTAGTAACGCAGAGTGAATTATCAAAGGACATTCCTCCTACAAAAAAAACGACAAATACAACAAAAAATGCTGATATGAATAAAATAATAGAAATTATCAGCATCATACTTACTGTTAGCATAAATACAATTGGAAGAACAAGATGTATGGAGCTTATTCTATTCTTGAATAGATTTATCCCTATATTAATATCAATTTTGTCCGTTTTGCCATCAAAATTGTGGTCGACTTCACGAAGCTGAATAAATAAAAAGGAAATTAGTCTGAATACAAAAAATAATACAGAGTTGTTCGCTTACCCGAATTTCGTAGCAAAAATCTAACCTACTGAATGCATTTTCGTAAAACTGTACGTTACTACAGACTATGGGATTGCTTTGATTATCTGTGTAAGCTAGAAATATGTAGCTTCCGTCTAGAGTTACTTTAGGCTGCTCGTGGAAGGTAACGCTTTTCAACCAAAAACCTGGAATGATAATGCGATTCAGAATAACAATCGTCTTTCCTTTTTACTATCGCACAAACAAAGAATTCTAAAATACGAAACTTTTTTATATATGCCCAAAATAATGGCGTGTAGAAGTTAGTATTTGTAAAAGTGAAGCATTTTGTTTTTAAGTAAAAGGTATACGTTAAATGTTTTTATCAATTCATAATCCGTACTGTTTCCATTCAAGGAAATACTTCAAAGAAATAAAGCAAAAGGTACAGAGATATCGCCAAACAAGTTGCAAGTCTGTCTGATATTTCTCGTCTGGGTGGCAGACGCAATCCATGTACATCATTAAAACCGGAAATAGGCCCTCTTTATACAAATTGAAAGAATTATTTGCTGACATGAAACAAAATACTATCTGAAAATCTCAAAGCCTGATTTGGAAATTCTTTTTTTTTTCATATAACAACACTAAAAGTACGAAGTACCTTTTTTATAAGGTTTGATAATGCCAATGTATGTTATACCCATATTATACATTTTTAGAATCAGAGTTAATGAATATGAATGAATCTATCCACCTATGCAAAAATCCAATGTGGCGTCTATCAGAAAAAATAAAGTTTATAATTGAGGACAAGACACGAAGCGTCATATTAAAATTATGCCATCATGTAGAGAAGAAAAAGTGGCAATATATTGCCTTCTTTACTTTGGAATCGCATCTCAAAGTCCAGAAAAATCAAAAACGATTTTGGGAAAAGTCCGGAAATAATCGGAAGTGCGAAACTCAACTCAACCGCCAATTTTGACACGTCCCTGAAGTCAGCTTAAGGTTCAGATTTGATTGCCATGAAATTGCAGTCAACCAGTGAGCTCAAATCGCCGATTTACTTGAAAACTGGTATTTTCAGCCAATGATTGGTATTTTATGTTACTCATTATCAAATATGGCTTTCATATAAATTACTTTATTAGATAGCAGGCTGAAATTCTATTTTCTTACTTCCTTAAATGCGCAACTTTGGCTCATTTAACCGACTTCCTACCACTTACAGTTTCCGAGGTTCTAATTACGAGACTCGTATTTGAAACACCCGGTATCTTATTAATAATTTTGCTTACCTCCACTTATATATGCTAATACAAAAGGCACAACAATTGAGATCAGAGCCGTTACTAATTTGACGAATGCAGCCTTTGAAAATAATGTGCTTTTGTATTTAACTTGTAAACTTTTCGAGAAAACTTCCAAAACTACCATTTTTCAACAATCTCACACGTACGTCATCATGATTATCACATTGTAAACAATTCGGGCACATGTTTGTAGCCTGGTTGTCATGGCAACGTATACAAATATCTACGAGGGGAATGCAAAAGTATTATAAACCCTCATGTTCGTTTTGCATATAAAACTACAATGTATTGACAGATCTTCTTTATTGTAGTGAACGTTTCTATCACAAAGGTGATCTTTTTCAATACAATAACATACATGTGATTTATCTGTCTTACAGGTGCTAGTTCGTCTAAAATAGTTGCGCGAAGTCATAGCTCCGAATTTTAAGATGAGTTCTTCTATTGCAATATCAGAAAATTATTATTTTCCAATCCATGAAGTCTATAGATAGGATGTTAAACTCACGGTGTGGGGATGAAACAAAGAATGTCAACGATGTGAAGTGTGTTGGTATACCGCTTAGCAAATGAATTTCAGGTGCTGCGCATATGGCATCTCTTTCGTGTCTAAACTATGTAGAAAATGCATTTCAGATTCTGCGCATGTAAAGAGATAATCTTTCTGTTGCTGTCATCATGACTGTAAACAACTCAAATTTTGATGATTGAATATTGGACGATAATAAACCACGGAGTAATAAACCTACAAAGCATGGCAAAACGTGAATAAAATGCACATATAGCGCATCTATAGGTTATGTTGATATTCTTCAATGCGCATACGCTCTGCGGCATGTTCTACGCCTACTAGATTTCCGAGAGCCACACCATCCCTGGCGACAGGATTGCCTTTATACGAATACATGTATCTTTAAGCATCCCACAAATCGGCGCGAAATATTCGCTTTGGCTGCTAAAATTTCGCGGCGGTGAATTCGCGATCAGATTAAAACGCGGCGGTTTACGGACAGGCTCAGACTTGTGCGAAGCGAATGCGATTGTTCCAGCGTTTTTATCGCGGCGTATTTCAGTTCGCCTTTGACCGCGTTTTTGACGCCGTTCTTCAAAAATTCGCAATGGCAAAAACGGAATTATTGATAGAAATAGTGAAAAAGTATCCTTGTTTGTATGATTTGTCGAATGATGAATACAGGATTGTGAGAAAGAAAGACAAGATTTGGATGGAAATAGGAAAAGAATTAAATACAAATGGTATGTACCTAATATTTTTTATTAACTTGTTAAATAATTTACAGTCTACACAAATGTGAAAACGAACATTCTATATATTGGGCATAGGCATATCAGAATTAAAATAATTTACGAATTTGTCACCAGTAGAAAATGCTAGCCTTGCTGCCCGCCGAGGATCATTTGCTATATCAGTAAAAGCTCCAAGCACGGGTTCTGGGGGATCTAAGAATTGAAAATATTTGTCATCGCCACTTTTACTTCATAAAAAATTGTGTAAAACACATGCCGTACGTACAATTAGAATAGTAGTATCTACTTTATTTTCTAATGGCCTGTAAAATATTCGCCATTTTTGAGACAAAATACCAAACGCATTTTCCACGACCCTTCTAGCTCGACAAAGTCTTACATTGTATTTCTCTTTTCTGACGTCTGTTAAAGTCTGCTTATAAGGAAATGGTCTCATAAGGTATGGTTTTAAAGCAAATGCTTCATTACCAATTAAGACGTACGAGCAGATTTCATTTTGCCCAGGGAGAAATCTAGGTGCAGGGACACTCATTAAATTTTGTTCAAATCGTTTTCCCATGTTTGAGGTTTCGAAAATACCCCCATCACTATTTTTTCCGAAACCACCAATATCAACACATATAAATTTATAGTCCGGGCCAACAATGGCCATAAGTACTATTGAATATTTATGTAAATAGCACCAGTAATTGGAGCCACTGTTGTTAGGTCTCTTGATTGTTACATGTTTACCGTCCACGCTGCCAATGCAATTGGGAAATCCCCATCTATTTTCAAATTCTTCAGCACATTTTTTCCATATATTCTCTGTTGGTTCTGGTAAATATATATGCTCCATATGTCTGCATATCGCTTCACAGACTTCGGTTACGATTGCACTCACTGTTGTAAAGCCAACTCGAAAGCTATGCCCAATGGTATAGAAGGTGTCACCAGTGGCAAGGAATCTATAAAAAAAATTGTTTTTAGGTGATGAAGTAAAAAAAAGGTGGAAGAATATCAGAGACAGATTTGCAAAATATATAAAATCTACCAAACCAAAGACCGGCCAAGCAGTGGGCAACATAAAAAAATGGCAGTGGGCTGACTACATGGAATTTTTCCGTCTTTTTTTGGCATTTGCCAAAACGTCGTCTAATGTGAAAGATATTGACGTCATACATTATGAGACTGCCGAATTTAACTCAAATATATATAAGGAAAGGGCTGGAAATGTAGAAACCGAAAATTTGGAAGACCGCGGCCATGGAGAAGATGAAAATGCTGATGTAGATGCAGAAGATGCACAGAACACCTCGGCAACACAGACAGCACCACCTTCTTCATTGAACACTACAGCAGTGACTACTCCAGGGCACACCTTTCCGCAGACTGCAACTACACCATAATATAAAACGAGCAGAAAACGCTATGAACCACCATCTTCGTCTGTACAATAGCTCATTAATTATTTTGAAGGTAAAAAACCTAAAAAAGAGAACGAGGCCATTGATTCACTTTTCTTGGCACATGCACAGACTGTGAAAACACTTCCCTTAAAGCGTCAAGCCCGAATAAAACTAAAAATAGCCGAATTAATAGCGCACGAAGAATTTGAACATATGATAACGCTTTGGTATGAATAAACAGGCGAAACAGATTGCGAATTTCGCTCTGAATTTCGTTGCGAATACTTCGCCGCGATTATTTCGCGCCGGTTTTTGGGATGCTTTATGCAGTTTAACCTATATCTAGTCTTTGTATTCATAAAGTACAGTGGTCATAGATAAGCTCGTTTTTGATATAATATTATTTGTAGATGCATAGCCAATTACGTATATAATATGTACGTTGACTGACCGTGGGCAGATGTTGATAAGAAACATTTGGTACGGATCTAAATTCTCAAAAGTGCTTAGCGAAATCAAAGAAATTCGAAAGTATGACATCTCTAACCATCCACAACAATTCAAACATCATATTTGCTTGGGGCTTCGATATTTGAAATAAATATCCTTGCAGTTACTCCCGACCTTGGTCAGGTAAAAATTTCGACCTAACGGCTAAAAGACAAAATGTCATCTTGCAGTGTAAGTAGTTTTTACTGTGCATTAGTTCATTCCACGTTATCTCGCTATGACCGCTGTGAACGTCATCAAAAGCGTCCATCTATGGAGGAATGACTCAATGACACAACGCTCCAGCATGCATTGTTGGTTGCAGAAAGCCAAGTAGTGCTTATCTCTGAGAAGATGTGAAAGAAAGAAAGTTGGTTGAGTAGAAGGTCGTATATGGATGATTATGTGTATTGGTCTGTATGAAATCAGTTACATTTGCTATGAGAGAAAATTATTACTGAATATGCTGCGAATGAAGTATATCAATTAACTGTGCCCGACGGCATACATGTGGACTTTTCTGAAGACATGTGCAATGTTATGAATTACGATTTTTTTCAGTTTTTTTGTGTGTTTCAAATACTTTGAGGAAAATGACGGGAAATCATCGCCGTGCCCGCGTTGTGAGTAATTACTGTTGGCATGTATAAATGACTTGTGATTCTACAGTCTACAGTGAGTATCATCACAAAATGTGGCAGTATATATGTAGAAAATTTAAAGATTCGACATAAAGTTAGTTACTTGACCAGCCAGAGATTTTCTTTTCTTTCTCATTTTTAAAACTCAAATTTGCATATGCAATTTCAAGAATGAATAAGAAAAACTGGCTGCGCAACTAATTTCTAGCTCTATCGTTAGGGCACAATGATCGTTAGGCGTGTTCGGAGACCAGTGGGCAAGGCTTCGATTTAATAGGGCATTTGGTTATTGTGCTGCCATCTTGCGGATTGAGTTTTCAAAATGTGTTAATAATTGGCCTTAAGCAAACGGATAAGCGACCTTCTTCTCTTGATCCACCGTATAGTTTGTCTATATATTCCACGTACAATTGTGCATAACCGTATACGTGATCATCACTCTCAACAACTGGCTTTTTTCAGATGAATAATACATTGTTCGCCGCAGATTTTGACAAAAATATCGCTGTGGGAATTGTTGATATCTCACAACGACTCACTTTATCGCTATCATTTAGTTTCCGATATTTCGATAAAAATTCATTATTTGAATCTATAACATATATCGGCATATTCGGTGTTCGGGTTTTATGGTGTCAAGTCATGAATTCAGACGTGGCTGAAATTATACTGAAACAAAATTATGATATACTTCGAAAATTGGAAGACCTGGAGCAAACCGTGAAGGATCTTCAGGAGATTAATTGTATTTTGGCGGAGCTGGTGCGGAAAAAAATAGATGAGCCGAATAGTACTGAGGACAAAGAAGTGATTCAAGATACTAAATATAATGGTGAGCTGCAAATATGTATATAGGTGTATTCCTATTGCAAGCTTTAATATTTCCAAAACTAATTCATCGTTAGTTAAGTACGTACCATAAATTCAACAGACGATTCTTTGATTAATTTTCAGACAAAAAGTTCATGTGAACATAGTTCGCAAATTCTTCTCAAGATACAGGGTGTTAAAATAAAAAGAAATGGTTTGCATATCTGCCATTTGACTATTAGTAAATTGAACCACTAAAAACACTTTTTATTAAAATTACAGCTTATACTAATACTAATTTGATAACTGTCAAGTTGTCTACTAAATGCTGCAATCGTTTTCTATTGCAACCTTTGATTATTATTTACTATTCCTTAGTTTAGTAAAATTCAGTACTTTAGATGTAATTAGTAATAAAAAAATTATATAAAAGTATAACATTTTCCAGGGCTATGCAATTAAGTGGACTTTTTTTCTCGAAAACTAAGCAAGATACGAAAAAAATTCAAGGGCCAAAAAGTTGTATTTCTATTTGCTCAATTCAAATACCATAATTGCACAAAAGTCAGTGGCGTATTTTTTTCTGTCACAAATATTCGCTCAGATCCCGCTCCAGACGCCACTGGTTTTAATAAATTTAATCAAGTTATGGCTAAAATAGCTCCTTAATGTTATAAATACCACCGCCAAATAACAACAACATTAGGTAGAGAATATTTAAGACATTTACGAAAAACCTTAACATGCGAGCCCCTTCCCACCTCAGTTGGCCCACTTCAAGATTTGTACCAAAATATGCCTTTAGAAACTAAACATGACGAAACCATTTACTTCTAAAACAATTTATTTTCTCAAAAACATTTTAGATACACTATAGTCGTAAAAAATACATATACAGGGTGTCTCAGAAGTCGACGTCAAGCCGAAACCGGGTGACAGGCAAAGTCATAACAGCTATCAGAAAAATATTTAAAAAAATTTTATGTATGTGTTTTGAAAATTATAGGTCTTTGAAAAAAATATAGAAATTTCACACCCTACGGCAGTCTGTCAACTCCTGTTACTACAAATATTAACTTTTTTTGGATTTTATTTTTACAATGTAATGATGAATAATGCATCTTCAAACTGGTGTCTCAACCTTACTGCCAACTTTTCTCGTTCAGGAAAAATTGCCACTTATTTCCCAACCAAGTATTCCAAAGTAAAACTTTGCTCAACTTTAACTGGCTGTACTGGAAAAAATGTACTACGAGAGTTTGGAAAGTAACCTTAAAAGTTGGCGCATTTAATAACGATTCCAAAATGGTATAAAACTTAGAAGATTACTCGTTAACTTATGCACAATTTTTATTTGAAAAAAAACAGATGAAAATTTTTCAACATTTCCTGATTAAACAGCGATTATGAAAACGCACAAGGACCCTTAAGGATAACTGTTTGCACAACAGTGGGCGTCAAAATGCTGCTGAGGATGATTTACCTGTACAGCAAATGCTCAAACTGTTTTCCTTCAGCCGCAATACACGCTTGACATCTTCTTAAAAAAGATCGGGTTATTAAACGAGCGAATCCACGGTTATTAACAAACTCAGCTGCTTCCAATAGTCTTTGCCGTAGCTCAGCTACATTTTGAATCGGCTTGAAATACACTTTTTCTTTTACAGTTCCCAGTAAAAAAATCTAAAGGATTCAAATCAGGTGATCGGGCTGGCCACGGTATTGTACCAGACCGCCTTATCCATATTCCTGGAAAGTTTTGATCGAGATACTCTCTCACTGAGAGTGCATAGTGCGCTGGGCAGCCATCATGCTGAAACCACATGTCCCTGTAAATACTCAGTGGCACGTCCACCAATAAATTTTGTACATGATTTTTCAAAAAATCCAAATAAACTTCAGCAGTCAAAGTCTCTGGGAACTCAAACGGACGGATTATTTATTTTACCATTTAAAATTCCTGTCCAATGGTTTATCTTGAAGCGATATTGAGATTTATCTTCTCTCATCAAATGTGGGTTTGCTACGTGCCACTCGTGTAAGTTATGCAGGTTCATGTACCCATCTTTCTTAAATGTGGTCTCATCCGACCATAAATTTTTTTCAAAGAATTGTGGATCTTTTTTGTGCCTTTCTAACATTGTGCGACAAAAAGCAACTCGGGGCTCACAATCCCGGGGCAGGAGAGGTTGAACACGCTGTATGTGGTATCAGTGAGAGAGTATCTCGAACAAAACTTTCCAGGCAGATGGATAGGGCGGTCTGGTACAATATCGTGGCCAGCCCGGTCACCAGATTTGAATCCGTTAGATTTTTTTTACTGGGGAACTGTAAAAGAAAAAGTGTATTTCAAGCCGATTCAAAATGTAGCTGAGCTACGGCAAAGACTATTGGAAGCAGCTGAGTTAATAACCGTGGATTCGCTCGTGTAATAACCCGATCTTTTTTAAGAAGATGTCAAGCGTGTATTGCGGCTGAAGGAAAATAGTTTGAGCATTTGCTGTAAAGGTAAATCAACATCAGCAGCATTTTGACGCCCACTGTTGTGCAAACAGTTATCCTTAAGGGTCCTTGTGCGTTTTCATAATCGCTGTTTAATTAGGAAATTTTGAAAAATTATCATCAGTTTTTCTTCAAATAAAAATTGTACATAAGTTAACGAGTAATCTTCTAAGTGTTATACCATTTTGGAATCATTAAATGCGCTAACTTTTAAGGTTACTTGCCAAACTCTCGTAGTACATTTTTTTCCAGTACAGCCAGTTAAAGTTGAGCACAGTTTTACTTTGGAATACTTGGTTGGGAAATAAGTGGCAATTTTTCTTGAACGAGAAAAGTTGGCAGTAAGCTTGAGACACCAGTTTGAAGATGCATTATTCATCATTACATTGTAAAAATAAAATCCAAAAAAAGTTAATATTTGTAGTAACAGGAGTTTACAGACTGCCGTAGGGTGTGAAATTTCTATATTTTTTTCAAAGACCTATAATTTTCAAAACACATACATAAAATTTTTTTAAATATTTTTCTGATAGCTGTTATGACTTTGCCTATCACCCGGTTTCGGCTTGACGTCGACTTCTGGGATACCCTGTATACATATTTAGAATCACTTAGACCTATAACTAATTGAACATCTGAACAAATAAACAATGTGCGAATAAATGCGTCAAGTTAACAAAGCAACAATTGAAAGATTACCATTGGGTAACATCACCTTTATTTTTTATTATGGCTGAAGTTCTTTGGGGCATAGTGTTAACCAAGTTTTGGCAAACATTTGGTGTAAAACAATCCCATATTTCTTGAAGCTTTTGTCTCAGTTCGGTGATTGTACGAGCAGGATGTTGTCGTAGAACCTTTTTCATCTCGTGCCAGAAAGTTTCAATAGGTGACAGATCTGGACTGCTAGAAACCCATTTCAAAGATGGTACATTATTTTCTTCCATCCATTAGTTTCTCGTTGGATACCCCACCTGTTGACTGACGAGCAGAAAACAGCCAGGGTTAATTGGTGTCAAAAAGCGCTTGACCGTTTCAATTCCCGAAACTCAAAAAATGTGTACAGCATTGTTAGTGGTGATGAATCGTGGATTTACTGTTATGAACCAGAAAATAAACGACAGTCGGCTGTTTGGGTGTTCCAAGGTGAAGATAAGCCAACAAAAGTCATCCTGGAATAAGTGCTTCGAAAATTGGTTCAAGTGCATGCTGCATGTGTATTAATCTTCGTGGAGAATACTTCGAAAATCAATAAAGTCATTTAAAACTACCTACCGTGTTGTTTTATTTCTATATGCAAAACTTAAAAGACATCCCTCGTAATAACCTTTCTTCTACCCATTTTGAAATCCTTTACTACCCAAAACTATTTTAAACGTATTCTGACAGCTGTGATTAATAAAAACAATTATCATGGCTTTTATTTTTCACAGCCACCTATGCATTATAGACTTATTTTGCATTGAAATGAAAATGCTGTAATTGCAACATGTGTTATTTTTATGCTGCAAATTTGATTAGGGAGTGATAAAGTTGGTGTTTTCTACTATATATTATCAAAATATTCATTGTTACTATTTTAAACCTATAACATCCTGCTACATTTTTATTATTTGGGTTTGATAAGAAAAAAACTAAGATTTCAATAGTTGGCCCAACTGAAGTGGGAAGGGTCTCGTATATCTCGAGAACGAGGAATTTGGGTAACTATGGTTATGAGAAATGTTTGTCTTAAAATTACACAGAGAATAGTCAACTTACCTTAAGTATTTTAGCATAGTGAGTATTTGAGATGAAACAAATATTTGCAGATATAAAACAATACGACGGTAACAATCTTCCCGATCCAGAAACAAGATCCACAGGAACTGTAAGATGGTTTGATAAACTAAAAGGATTTGGTTTTATTCATGTAACTGGTACAAATACTGATGTGTACGTTCATATGGTAAGCTTACTACTACTATTTAAGTTCTTAAAAACAAATAAAAAATAGCTTCAAGTAGGTTCACTCTCTCGCAACGCTGTCGTCAGTTAAAAAATTACTTTCTGTACAATTCTATATTACGAGTACATTAGTGTTAGTAAGAGTATATCACCTTTTCAGCATGGTTTTATGGAATTGAGATCCACCACGACTAACCTAATTCGTTTTACGCAATTCGTTTCTGAATCCCTGGATGCCAGAGTGCAAACTGATGTCATTTATAGATATCAGTAAAGCATTCGATCGATCTGGTGCTAGCAAAACTTGATAGAATGAGCTTTTCAAATCATTTAGTATGCCTTTTGACACCCTATCTGTCCAACCGTAAGTTGTATGTGGAATTCAAGGGATCTAAATCTCAAAAGTACTCCAACATCAGGAGTTCCACATTGATCATCGTTAGGACCGCTTCTTTTCATTATATTTATCAACGACGTTGCTGCCGTCATCGATTGCAGCTTTCTGTTATATGCCGATGATCTGAAAATGTATACTAAAGTTTCTGAGTTTTGTGCTGAGCAACTCTCGTGATTTTGATAGCATAAGGGTTCTGCTCATGTTGTTTAATGCATTTGTGATGTCAAAAGAATTAATTTAGAATTATTTGGAATCTCCGCTACGTGACGACTTGAGAAAAAATACAACTAAGTTTCTGAAATTCAGGATAGATTGTATTTATTCAGAAATAGGTCTTCCGCAAAATGTATTAATATACTAAGTGGCATATAAATCCGAACACCCAGTTTAAATGGTTTTATCTTAATAAAAGTTGGTAAATGTATTTATCTTACAGTAAATAACAAGTGAAAAAATTTTCAGCCTTATCAGTTGGACATTCCGGTTTTTATACTCCTTTTTTTTAATTCACCAACGCTCTAAAAATGAATATTTCAGCCGCAGTAAAGAATCAACGTTGGCGGATTTTGGTTCTTGACATCCTTTACGATCGGTTAGGATGCCTAGAGTACGGAGACCTGTACGATTTCGTCAACTTAGTGAGTTTGATAGGGGCCGTATAGTGGGACTTCGGGAAGCTGGACTTTCTTTTCGGGCAATTGCAGTTAGAGTGCAAAGAAGTGTAGACACTGTCGTTAGGTGTTGTCAGGCATGGCTTCGAGAAGGCCGTACGCAAAGAGCAAGGGGCACTGGACGCCGCCATAGAACAACAGACTTATTTTATTGGCCTTAAGGTACCGTTTCTCCACTACCAGGTCCATTGCAAATGAATGGTTTGCAGAACACGGAAGACCAATTGGCATGCGAAGTGTTTACCGACGAATGAAAAGTTTTGGCTTGTTTTCATACCGGGCACACTGGGTCCTCCGTTTAACTCGAGAACACCGACGTAATCGCCTTGAGTGGTGCAGACAACGGTCACTCTGGGATCAGGAATGGAACAGTATTGTCTTTAGTGACGAGTCTCGATTTTGCTTAGGCATGCACGATGGTCGTGCCAGAGTTAGAAGGCGACGTGGTGAAAGGAGGAATCCACAGTTTTTTGTTGAAAGACATGTTCATCACACTGTTGGAGTTATGGTTTGGGGTGCTATAGCTTATGGTTCCAGGTCACCTTTAATTGGAGAGGAGATTGCTCAATTAGCAACGTCCTCCTCAGACTCTAGAAGCACTTCGAGAGGAGTTGGTGGTTGCCTGGAATGAGATACCACAGGAGGACATTGACCACCTGATCAGAAGCATGCCTAGGCGCGTTGGAGAATGCGTAGCACATCAGGGGCATCCACACATTCACTGATCAACAGCCAAAAAATATCCTAAATAAAATCAACAAAATATTACTATTTTTAATGTGCTAAAACCGGAATGAAACTTATTTTTTCAATATTAGGTCAAGTTTTAGAGATACGGTAATTATATGTGTTCCTGCTGTGACAGTGTTAATATACTGTAATTCACAAGAATGCACGTGCTACATTTTTATATTCGGCAAGGAAAGAATGTGTAATCGGCATGATTGTGTTACGTTATACATACGTGTACATTATATTGTTTTATATTAGCCATTTTTTCCTCAGTTGGCTGACAGCGTTCATGCAAGATGTCTCGAAAGTGTGTAAACAATCCAGATCAGTTTTGTTACGTATGTGGTTATGTGACTTTTGCGTCTCAGAGACGGTCTATTACTCCACTAATAACAAAGGCATATCAGCTTTATTTCGGTTGTAAACTAGGTGATCAAGACAAACAGTGGGCACCCCACATCTGCTGTAATACATGTGCTTCAAGTCTGAGGAGCTGGTTAAATGGCAAAAAACGGTCTATGCGCTTTGCTGTCCCAATGGTTTGGAGAGAGCCTACAAATCATATTAATGATTGTTACTTTTGCATGGTACCTTGTGTTGGACAAGCCACAGGTATGTCCAAGGAAAAGAAATCGGTTATTAACTATCCAAACATACCATCTGCGATGAGACCTGTGCCTCACAGTGACAAAAATCCTATTCCAAAACCCCCAGAATCCTACACTTGCGAATCAGAAAACGAATCAGATCATGGCGATCGAGTGATTCGTCAGGAAGAAGATATGCCATCAACGTCAAGAGATCCTGATTTTATACCGAGCACGTCATGCCACCAACCGCACAAAATAACACAGTCAGAATTAAATGATCTTGTAAGAGATTTAGAACTTCCAAAATGTAAGGCAGAGTTACTTGGATCAAGACTGCAGCAGTGGAACTTGTTAGAAGGCGATGTTTCGGTATGTGTTTTTCGTAAACGCCACAAAGACTTAGAACCATTTTTCAATATGGAGAATAACTTGGTTTTCTGCAGTAACATTAACGGCTTACTGGCGGCTTTAAATATAAACTATAACCCAGAAAAATGGAGATTGTTTATAGACAGTTCAACATTGAGTTTAAAGGCAGTGTTATTGCATATTTGAAAGTTGTTGCACTTTTACTTGGGCTGCAGCTAGGCTACACAAAGTTTTGCTGTTTTTTGTGTGAATGGGACAGTCGGGCAAAGCCACTTCATTACACCAGACAAAACTGGCCTGTTCGTCAATTCCTAGAGCCAGGTCAAAAAAATGTACAGCATATGCCATTAGTAGATTCGAAAAAAATTTTATTACAACCACTGCATATCAAGTTGGGCCTAATGAAAGACTTTGTCAAGGCATTAGATAGAGATGGGTCAGCTTTTCAATACCTGCGTCAGAAATTTCCAGGACTAAGTGAGGCAAAGGTTAAAGAAGGTATTTTTGTTGGGCCACAGATTCGAAATATTTTGAAAGATACACAGTTTGAAAACACTTTAACAGGTATTGAAAAAACTGCTTGGAATGATTTCCGTCTGGTGGTCACTAATTTCTTGGGAAATAGAAAAGCTGACAACTATAAAACCCTTGTCAAAAATATGCTGTCATCGTAACAAAAGATGGGCTGTAATATGTCTCCTACACTCACACCTGGACTTTTTTCCTGACAATTGCGGAGCCGTAAGTGACGAGCACGGCAAACGTTTTCATCAGGATATTTCAACAATGGAAAAAAGGTACCAGGGAAAGTGGAATCCTTCCATGCTTGCAGACTACTGTTGGACTCTTGGTAGAGATGCTCCAGAAACGATCCATAAAAGAACAGCAAAAAGACAGCGCATATAGTGATTCTTATAAGTATATGAATCTTGTTACTTTTTTTAATATATCCTTAAAAATAAAAAGTTTTTTTCTAAACCGCAACTAATTTTTTTATTTCATTGTCATTTTTGGATTCAGCGCCCCAAAATTAACAAAGAAGTGCACTTTTCCCACAAGATACAATTAAAAAACTAAAATTTGTGGTCCAGTGATATTAAAGGTCAAAGAGCTTTAAAGCAGTGCAATCATTTTGAAATTTTTATCATTTACTTATTATGCTTCATTAAGTACTTATACAAAATTTTATTAAAATAAAACCATTTAAACTGGGTGTTCGGATTTATATGTCACTTAGTATAAAAATGCAGGACATGCCAAGTTCAGATTACAGAAAAAAATGCACTCGTTAAAACGTATGTCCTAAAAGTTTTGGCACAAAATATTTATCGGGTTTTTTTAATAAAGACTAACAAAAGGATTTTATCTGCAAAGTTCGCTTGATGTTTATATCTAACATTGTCAGGGCATTCCTCTACGTTGTCTACATAAAGTCCGTCTTTTCCCAATTTGAACTTATCATTGGGAGCCAACAATCTAAGCATACCATCAAATTTACTGTCGCCCAAATTGTAGGATTTCCCTATACAGGATCTGCCTATTTCATTGCCCAATTTTTCCCATATACGATACATTCCACACGCGTCTTTTTGTTGCAGGCGTCAATACAATCACTTATACGATGTCTGTACGTGGGAGAAGCAGTGGAGTTTGAATTGCGATCGCATAAAGGCAGATTATCCGCTATCAATGTTAAGAAATTAGAAGAAATCGACACGAAAGCCACCTACCGGCCTTTGAGGTCACGAAGTAAGACGATGTCTGAGACGAACCTATCACGAAAAAGGGATATCAGCAGATCAAGTTTTTATTTGGATTAGTCACTGTAATTATTATTTTTCAAATATTTATGGTTGTAATGGGGAAAGCCCAGTCAAAGCGAACACAGTTTCTGTTCTTACGTCCAAACCATGTATCTTCCCTCACGAGAAAGTACATAGAAATATTCGTCTGGTCTTCTTTAAAAAATTGGCTATTAATTGGTGGAGTTGGAATCTATGTTAAATCAAATTTACATGCTGAAAAGGTAGATATTCATAAAAATTTTGGTGATTTTATCGAAAGCATTTGGGTTAAATTGGTTGCGGGTAAGTGTGAACTGTTAGTAGGTGTTTTGTACCGACCACCCTCTAAAAACATACAACAATGTGCAGATTTATTAAATGGTTTCCTACCCAGCCTCTCGGTATATCATCATAACATCGTGATATTGGGAGATCTGAATATGAATTTTTTTAATAACAATATATTCTCACTGAGTTTTGAGCTGATGGGGTTCACACAAATCGTAACGGAAGCCACCCGTGTCACAGATAGTACTGCAACATTAATCGATCCAATATTTTTAAATAATCCTCAAATATGCAGCTATTCTTCTGTCATGGACACGAGTGGTATTTCGGACCACAAACTCGCATTTTTTCATTTTGACATTCCATCTTATAAAAGAAAACAAAAATTTATACAATCAGGGATTTTAAACATTTCAGTGAGGATGATTTTCTTATCGATCTTTCTACATCGGGCATAGATGAATTATTTACGAAATTTAATATTGATGAGAAGGTAATGCACATTACAAGCGTTATCGTGGAAACTTATAATAAACATGCACCTTTTAAAACTGTAAGAGTTAATAAACCACCATCACATTGGTTAACAAATGAACTACGCACTGTTCTTGATGAAAAGAATAATGCACAAGCTTTATGTAAAACTAATAAGACTGTGGACGCCTATAATAACTTCAAATCGCTTAGAAACCGTGCTCTTAACATGATCAGGAGGGACAAAAAGACATATATCGAAAATTTGGCAAATGAAAATGATTCAAAAAAATTGTGGAAGTCTCTCAAACAACTTGATATAAATTTTCGTAGTAAACCAACCCTTCCGGCAAGTTTTAATGACCCTACCAAAATTAATGATTATTTTATGTCTGTTTATAGCTATAAACCTGTTGATTCACTAGTTTGCGAAAACTATTTCAAAAATAAATTAAGCTCTGAATATATTTTTTCATTGAATAAGATTAGTTCAAATGACGTATTACAGGCAATAGGGAGCCTAAAATCTGATGCGAAGGGAATTGATGGTATATCCCTGTCAATGATCCAGATTTGCCTGCCAGTTATTCTCCATCACATCGTCCACATCTTTAACGACTGTTTGGAAAAAGGCTACTTTCCAAACACATGGAAACAAGCTCTAATTATTACAATTCCTAAAAAAATGAAACCCACTGAGTATAATGATCTCAGACCTATCAGTTTATTACCAATTTTATCCAAAATTTTAGAAAAAATTATAAAGTTCCAATTGACCGCTTACCTAGAAAAATTCTTTATACTTCCCGACACTCAATCCGGATTTAGAAAAAATTATAGTACAACATCTGCCCTACTTAATCTGCCAGACAATATTTTAAGTGCCTTAGATAAGAAAATGGCACTAGCCTTAATCTCTATAGACTATTCGAAAGCCTTTGACAGCATCAATCATAAATTATTACTTGCGAAATTAAATTACATAGGTCTTGACAGTGTATCCCTTTCATTTTTCGACAGTTACCTTCATCAAAGAACTCAGTGTGTTTTTCTCAATAAAGAAATGTCTCAAGTGACAATAATTCCCTCAGGCGTACCTCAGGGCTCTGTATTGGGACCGCTTCTGTTCCTCATATATACGTTCGACTTAAGCAAAAGTATTGATAATTCTCATGTCCAGTCATTTGCAGACGATACGCAATTGCTTCAGTATTTTAACCCAGATAATGTCAATAATACTACCCAAATTTTACAAAACGATGTTAATAAATTAATTAAATACTCTTTAGATCACAATCTACTTATTAATCCACAAAAATCTAAAATGTTATTATTTTGCGCACAAAGAAAAACATACAATGTAATACAGCTCTTGAACATTCAGATAAATAACCAAATCTTGCAATTTTCTGATTCTGCAAAAATTCTTGGTGTTGTTTTTGATACAAAATTAAGGTTTATTGAACATGTTAAAAGTCTATCTCAGAAAACCTACCTACGGCTGCGCACTCTTATAGCAAACAGGTATTTACTAAATTTTAAGATGCGTAAAAAACTATGTGAAGCATGGGTCATATCTATACTAAATTATTGTAATATCGTATACTATACTTGTTTAGACAATTTCACTAAAAACGTTATTCAAGTTATTCAAAACAATTGTATACGATTCATTTTTAATCATGTATCGGCGAAATATCCCGTTCTAAACTGGTTAAAAATTAATGACATGGTCAAGTATCACTATTCAGTTTTTGTTCACAAATCGCTGCTCACGTCTAAATTATTACTTGAAGGAAAAAATTTCATTTAATAATGATGTTCACTGTAGAACTCTCAGAGAAAATAATATTAGAATACCCCTGCATACGTCTACACTTTTTAAACGCAGTTTTTCTTACAATGTTGCTATTATTTATAATGACCTTCCTAAAGTATATAAAGAATTTTCATCACCTGTCTTTCGACAAAAAGTTAAAACATTATTACTCAACCCTCCAAACATATAATTTACGTAATCATTCATTTCTTTTTTATTCCATCTTTAATTCAGATTAATAATTTTTTGGTGCATTTGGGTTTGGAAAGTATGCCTTTTTCTCTTTTTTTTAAATTTTACTTTCGATGTAATGAACCAAATCTGTTTGTGGATAGTGTATTCTTTTGAACCTCTGCTAGAGACTATATGGTTAAGTGTAAGAGTAGCAGCATGCTAAACTTCGCCATATAAGTCTGACATTTGGCTATACTACAATGTAATTGTGGATAAATAAAGACGTCTATTATTATTATTAATTCCATGCTTATTGGGTAAATAATTAGATTAATTGTCTTTGCAAGACAGATATTGAGCTTATGATTCCAAAATAACGTTGAAGAACTTATCTGTACAAATGATGCAGGATAAATGGATGCTTTTGATAGAGGAGAAGAAATAAATAAGATTTAATTTGAGTGCGAAGAGAAAACAGGTCACGGATCCTGGTTGGATAACCTCAATCAGCTTGTGCAAAACTGCGAACTGATGAAAACATCCACTGTGCTCGTATTGTATGCTATCAGTGGCATCATGAAGAACCTTCAGAACCTTCAGAACCAAGTGCATTCATAGTCTATGAAATATGTTTGTACAATATTTAGTTCCTAACCATTTGTGATACGTATTCACTTTACCCTGGTATACGGGCAAAGCGGGTAGTTTGCATCTTTTTATCTTTTAACTCCCGATCTCAAAAGTTCAACATGTATTAAATCACTTTTTGCCATTTCTTTAGTATTGTTTACAAATAGTTATAGTTAGATATAAAAAGTGGTTAGGCCACTTTTCACCATAAAATTAGCTGCCCCTGCCGTTGTACATTCTGTATGGTAGTAAAAAGTTAAAAGCATAATCACTACATATATTTCTTTGTGAATCCGTTGCTCAAATCTTTTTGGAAAACTTTGCCATATATTTTTCTTTTTAATCGATTCTTCGGTTTAGTTCTAGTTTAATTATGCTGCCCTCCAGTGGTTAAGTATAATAGCGATTAATTAGACTTCGCCACTGGTATTGTATCCTTAAAAACATAATTTTCCTGTCTATAAAAATCAAAATAAAGCCGGATTATTATTATATTACTAGTTTGTTTCACTTCTTAATCATTCCATCCTTCATTACATGAAGAGAAATCCGTTGGAAGTTACGCAGATATCAAACAAATTTAAGAGAAATGTCAAGAGAAAAGAATGGAAGATGAAAAATATAATGGAAGCAACGGAAAAAGCTTCATCTCTATGAAAATATCTGAACTCCGGGCACGGGTATCATGTATCTTGAATAGTGACATTGTATTGTTTTTTTGTTGACATTATGTAGGTTTTTCTACAAGATGTTAACTCAGCACTTAGTTGTACGTGTTGAGGCTTTAGTTATCAATGTTTGGCTCTGATGTTATGTAGAGTCTGCTGCAGAGATGGCATCACTGGAGGTCTAAGCTGTAAGTTGTATGTGTTTTTTTTTGACGGCGTCAACTTCTATGGTTATTAGCCGTGAAAGTTGTATGTGTTGATAATTCCATTGGATTCTTGTCTCAAATACACTTACTCGAGATTCAATGCTAGAAATTAGTTGCTTAGGCACTTTTCCTTATATACTAAGTGACATATAAATCCGAACACCCAGTTTAAATGGTTTTATTTTAATAAAATTTTGTATAAGTACTTAATGAAGCATAATAAGTAAATGATAAAAATTTCAAAATGATTGCACTGCTTTAAAGCCCTTTGACCTTTAATAATGTGTGGATGCACCCTGATGTGCTACGCATTCTCCAACGCGCCTAGGCATGCTTCCAATCAGGTGGTCAATGTCCTCCTGTGGTATCTCATTCCAGGCAACCACCAACTCCTCTCGAAGTCATATTCAGCATATTCAGTAATTATTTTCTCACACAGCAAATATCACTGATTTTATACACATGCAGACCAATACACATAATTATCCAGATGCGATCTTGCTATTCAACCAGGTTTCTTCTCAGAGATAAAAATACAGACACGGATCACTCAGCCTCACAAAACTATGCAACCAATAATGCGTGTAGTTTAGTTGAGTGATTCCTCCATAGATGGACGTTCACAACGATACTAGTGAGCAAACGTGGAATGACTATTTGTGCCCTAAAAACTACCTAGTCTGCAAGTTGACATTTTATAGGTTTTTTTTTGACGTTTTGTAGGTTTTTTACATGATGCTTGATAACTAGAGTAATTTTGGTGCTTCAAAGTTTGCTAGCTGCCGACGTTATAATTTTGATTGAAAACGGTGGCGTATTGTCATTTATTTGTCACTGTCTTCCTGCACGATCAAAATCTCATCCCCTAAAATGTTGGATTTAATTGATGACGAAGAAATTTCGTCCACCCACTCAGACACTGACGTTGCGATATTGGAAGGAGAGCATGAAGAGATTCAACCGCAACTAGACGACATGATACAAAAGTCTAACAGTATGAATGAGAGACTGATATCTCTAAGGGCGATGTCTGAAAAGTTAAAACAGCAAATTAAAGAGGAAAAGGTCAAGTGGAGGCAAGAGTTGGCGGAGACTGCAGCATTGGACAGGAATCTCAGGGAGGCTCATAAGAAGGGACCAGATGGATATCAAATGTTCAGGTATGATCGCTCAAGTGACACCATGCCTCAACTATTCTCTTATTAGACACTACATTTGTAGCTTCTTCATAATCTGTTCATAGAGATACAAAAAAGAGAGTTGGCTATACAGGGTGACTTTGAAGTTGAGTCATTAATTTTCAGATAATGATTGTAGAAGGAAGATAAACCAAAATATCTGTGTAAAAATAAAAAAAGAAATAAAAAAAATTGTTTACCTTGTTTTATAAAGTATCCTCCTGACAAGTATTTCAGTGCGGACCTGTATTTGATCGTGAGGTCCCCTGTGAGGTCTTAAGTCACCTGATTCACGAGCCCGTTGTACTACATTAACAAAGGCACGAGGGGTTGGTTCCACTCGATTGGGAAACCGATCCGCATAAACATGTGCCATTTTTTATTTCGTTTGAGCCACGCAACAGATACCACTATTCACTGACACTGACTGTATACAAATGAATGAAATAATTGTAAAAACATCGTTCCAAATTCTTTCGCTTTTTTGTTTCCGATGCGATGAACCGATACGGCGGATTATATCTGTTGTCGCCAAACACGAGCACATAATATTATTATTGAGACAGGACGGTACTCAAACTTCCAAAGGGCTATAACTTTGTTACTTTAATTTTACCAGAAAAATGATAAAGGAAAAAACATTTCTTTTGATCAGATCTACTCACTGTTAAAATAAATGACTCAACTTCGAAGTCACCCTGTATATATGTACAGGGTGTTTCAGTTTATTGTTGCATAACTTTAAGGTACGATAGAACTTTTAAAATCAATGCATAAAGTCTATATAAACATGGGTCGAAAAATGCGTGGCTTCCGAAATACAGGGTGTTTAAATTTACTTTATAAAATAGTTTTTTTTAAATATTTCGAACAATATTTGATGTATAACAGTGAAAATTGGTATACAAGGGTCTTTTTGGTACGACAAAACGAACCATGGGCATAGTTTTACTGTAGGCGCTAGAGGGCGCTCTCTACTGTACCTGTAGTGTATTAAAATGACCGAAAATTTTTTCTTAGTGCAATGTTTTGCTTTTTGAATAAAAAAACTGATTCTTCGCACTTTTCAACATAAAAAAGCTCTCCTGTGAGTTTTCGTTATAGTTAGCCGTTTTTGAGATATGTATTTCGATTTTTAAGGTTCGGTGCATTTTTAATTATTTATGGGAAAATAATATTTTTTTTACATTTTAGATTTGGGCATTACAAGTAATTAAGATGATCGTTTAGATTGTGTTTTTAAACACAGCAATAATTCCTAACTCCAAATAAACACAAAAAAACAGAATATTAATTTGTTTAATTTTCCAATACTATTTTTAACAAATTAATTAATTATTTACAACTAAAATGCTATTGGATAGTTAGGACAAACATACAAAATCTAAAGTAGTTGCTCGAAATGTAAACCCACTTGTTCAATACACAATTCACATCTACGAATGATCGAACGTGGTATAGCATTATTCAAATAAGGCCTTATTCCATCACATGCATTCCTGATTCTGTCTATTAGCATATCTCTTGTGGTTACGGGAGTCTGGTACACTTTTTCTTTTAGAAATCCCCACACAAAGAAATCTAATGGATTTAGGTCAGGGGATCGTGGAGGCCAGGCGACTGGTCCTCCACGGCCGATCCATCTTTCTGGATAATTTTAATCTAACATAACATCATCCCACATATTTGTATGTTCAGCCTTTAAAAATTCCAAGAAGAAAATTTCTTTCCCGAACTGCATGCGGATTTTCATGCGACCAAATATGTTGATTATGAAAATTTACCACTCCACGTCTAGTGAAGCATGACACATCGGTCCATAAAACGTTACTTAAAAACTCCCTATTATTATCAGATCTATCAAGAATCCACTGACAAAATGTGATTCTTCGTTCTCCGTCCCCTGGCTGTAGTCCTTGCACAGGTTGCAAATGGTAAGGACGTCTATGGTCATTTCTAAAAACACGGTGAACATGGCTTGCTGAAATTCCCAAGGCACCAGAAACTCTCCGAACCCTTGTGGTCGGATCTCTATCAAACTCACGCAGAATCATACGGGTAAATCTGCGCTGACGAACATTTATGTTTTGATCCCTTTGGAGATTTCCAAGACCATTTTCAATTATTTGGCGATGCACTCTTACAAATACTGAGCGAGTTGGATGTCGTCTGTTTGGAAATCTTCGTGCGTATTCTCTGTGTTTCCTGTAGCTATGCTTTCTGTTATAAATTGATGAAGTGATGCATAAATCTGGAACTTCTGGAGTACCCTGAACGTCCCGGGTTATGGTAGGGGTCATGTCGCTGCTCTTGATATCATGAAACCATTTGATCTGCCCTCTTTTGCAATGTAAAATTCTGGAGTAAATTGAACACGACTTGATTAACAAAGTTTATATAATCTCCTCGTAGCAGGAGTGGTGCCCTAGTATTTAGGCTTCTACCTAAGCGGGTGCTCCGGTATGAAAAAAGCTTTAGATACACTGTTGTTGCTTATCAAGCAATCATATCTCGGAAGATCGGACGTGGTATCATAAAACATCAATAGGTTTAAATTTGCTTTTCAACTCTCAGTTCTATCTTTGGTCATATCACTCATTCTATGCCTTCTTTTACGAAGACTTTGTCCCTTCTTCAATCTCCTGAATGAAGGAAACTAAAGGCAAGCCCCTTAATTGACAGAGTTTAGACATTTGGAACATTTATATTGTCTCGTGATTTGTACAGTTTATAAGACATGTTGAGAGGTGTTGCGCTTTTTGTAAAACATCTAAACGCATAACCAGGTAGTCTAGGTAGCACTTACGATTACGTAATACGTATGCACTTATAGAGACTACCTATTTTTCGCTGAAACGAGTCGTACCATTGATGAGGCGATGCGAAAGAAGCATTATGAGCAGTGGTTGAACGAAATCGAACACGAATGCAATGATGAGCTAGAGAAGATCACAAAAAGCATAACTAGGTATGTACTAATGTTCAAAATATAATTTAGTAAATGTTACCGTCTATATCGATGGAACACGGTGTTAAATTAAAACATGTCATCAATTTTCAAAATAGAAGAAGAAGAACGCATTGTTCTCAAATTAATTTGGTGGTTTTATTTCTTCTCCTGTCAACCTCGCAGTTTTCTACTTTTAGCTGGATTTTTTGATTCAACGAAAACCTTAATTACAACGATATTGAGTTAAAAGACGTGTTTTCTTTGGAATCTTTGGGAAAATTGCCTGAGTCTAGCTTCTGCTGTACTTATTCCGCATCACTACTTTATATCTGATGGTAGAATGCTGGATCAACTAGCCATGCATACCTGACCTAACGTCATAGCAATATACGGCTCTAGTGACATAACCTGATTAATAACCCACTATATCTTCCAGATTGAAGCCTTTAAAAGACATTGTGCTGGAATGGGATATGGAAAAGGGCAGTGGAGATCATGCTGATCAGAAGAAGCAAAGATCAAAACCGACTGAAAGCGATGATGAACTAGAGGCGACTAGTAGTAAAATCACGATCACTAACATGCCAGTAGACGAGAATGATACAGACAGAACTGAAGAAGACACAAGCAATGGCGAGGAAAGTACAGACGAAGATAAGACAGTAATTATTAATTGTTTCTCGAAAAAGTAAAAAGCAGAAGTTACGATAAAAATGTCATTGTTTCTTGAGAGGTTTATGAATTCAAAATTCGTACATCAGTATGAGATGTGACTGATACGTGTATGGGCATAAATAAAGAAAATATTATTATTATATATGTATATATCACTCACTAAATATAAACCAAATTTACAATAATAATCTTTTACATTTCATAAAGTTTATTTTTCCATTTATACAGATGGACAAAATATATGGAAAATATATTTTGTAAAAAACATGTAAAATCAGTTGAGCTTTTTTCGCAATCCAGAGAGAAGGAAAAATCCGAATTTTATGGCTTTATTTGAGTTGGCATCTCAAATTAAATTGTACAAATACATTTTTCACTGTTTCTCCTCTGAAAGGTGGCTCAAATAAAATTTCATTACGACGTTTCGTCTTTTGTCCTGAATCATCAACTTATTTTCTCTTATGGACGCCATATTGGATTTTTATACAAGTGAATAGGGTTTTTAATTTTGATTTAAAAAATGTGTGATGTTGTTAAACCATAATTATTCAACAAACAATATTTTCCAATTCACTGATCAACAGCCAAAAAATATCCTAAATAAAATCAACAAAATATTACTATTTTTAATGTGCTAAAACCGGAATGAAACTTATTTTTTCAATATTAGTTCAAGTTTTAGAGATACGGTAATTATATGTGTTCCTGCTGTGACAGTGTTAATATACTGTAATTCACAAGAATGCACGTGCTACATTTTTATATTCGGCAAGGAAAGATGATGTAATCGGCATGATTGTGTTACGTTATACATACGTGTACATTATATTGTTTTATATTAGCCATTTTTTCCTCAGTTGGCTGACAGCGTTCATGCAAGATGTCTCGAAAGTGTGTAAACAATTCAGATCAGTTTTGTTACTTGTGTGGTGATGTGACTTTTGCGTATCAGAGACGGTCTATTACTCCACTAATAACAAAGGCATATCAGCTTTATTTCGGTTGTAAACTAGGTGATCAAGACAAACAGTGGGCACCCCACATCTGCTGTAATACATGTGCTTCAAGTCTGAGGAGCTGGTTAAATGGCAAAAAACGGTCTATGCGCTTTGCTGTCCCAATGGTTTGGAGAAAGCCTACAAATCATATTAATGATTGTTACTTTTGCATGGTACCTTGTGTTGGACAAGCCACAGGTATGTCCAAGAAAAAAAATCGGTTATTAACTACCCAAACATACCATCTGCGATGAGACCTGTGCCTCACAGTGACGAAAATCCTATTCCAAAACCCCCAGAATCCTACACTTGCGAATCAGAAAACGAATCAGATCATGGCGATCGAGTGATTCGTCAGGAAGAAGATATGCCATCAACGTCAAGAGATTCTGATTTTATACCGAGCACGTCATGCCACCAACCGCACAAAATAACACAGTCAGAATTAAAAAATGATCTTGTAAGAGATTTAGAACTTCCAAAATGTAAGGCAGAGTTACTTGGATCAAGACTGCAGCAGTGGAACTTGTTAGAAGACGATGTTTCGGTATGTGTTTTTCGTAAACGCCACAAAGACTTAGAACCATTTTTCAATATGGCGAATAACTTGGTTTTCTGCAGTAACATTAACGGCTTACTGGCGGCTTTAAATATAAACTATAACCCAGAAGAATGGAGATTGTTTATAGACAGTTCAACATTGAGTTTAAAGGCAGTGTTATTGCATATTGGAAATATTTTACCATCTCTTCCTGTAGGGTATGCAGTTCACATGAAAGAATCATATGGCAATATGAAGTACCTATTGACATGCATAAAATACGATGAGCACCACTGGCATATTTGTGGCGATTTGAAAGTTGTTGCACTTTTACTTGGGCTGCAGCTAGGCTACGCAACGTTTTGCTGTTTTTTGTGTGAATGGGACAGTCGGGCAAAGGCACTTCATTACACCAGACAAAACTGGCCTGTTCGTCAATTCCTAGAGCCAGGTCAAAAAAATGTACAGCATATGCCATTAGTAGATTCGAAAAAAATTTTATTACCACCACTGCATATCAAGTTGGGTCTAATGAAAAACTTTGTCAAGGCATTAGATAGAGATGGGTCAGCTTTTCAATACCTGCGTCAGAAATGTCCAAGACTAAGTGAGGCAAAGGTTAAAGAAGGTATTTTTGTTGGGCCACAGATTCGAAATATTTTGAAAGATACACAGTTTGAAAACACTTTAACAGGTATTGAAAAAACTGCTTGGAATGATTTCCGCCTCGTGGTCACTAATTTCTTGGGAAATAGAAAAGCTGACAACTATAAAACCCTTGTCAAAAATATTCTGTCATCGTATCAAAAGATGGGATGTAATATGTCTCTTAAGATACATTTCCTACACTCACACCTGGACTCTCTTCCTGACAATTACAGAGTCGTAAGTGATGAGCACGGCGAACGTTTTCATCAGGATATTTCAACAATGGAAAAAAGGTACCAGGAAAAGTGGAATCCTTCCATGCTTGCAGACTACTGTTGGACTCTTGGTAGAGATGCTCCAGAAACGATTCATAAAAGAACAGCAAAAAGACAGCGCATATAGTGATTCTTATAAGTATATGAATCTTGTTACTTTTTTTAATATATCCTTAAAAATAAAAAGTTTTTTTTCTAAACCGCAACTAATTTTTTTATTTCATTGTCATTTTTGGATTCAGCGCCCCAAAATTAACAAAGAAGTGCACTTTTCCCACAAGATACAATTAAAAAACTAAAATTTGTTGTCCAGTGTAATTATTTTTTATGAACGCCATCAAGTGGGGCCTGAACTATTTACTACTTACTAAACTGTCAAAACTTCATTAGATTATACATATACTATACTGCTCAAAAGCTATTTAAAAAAATCGCCTGGCAATCATGCATTTCTACTTTGCACTGCACGGACACATACTTTAATCATCGCCAAAATGAACTTTCTTGATTCTGTTAAGTACGCTCTTGCATCACGGTATCCCAAGAATTGTGTGAATATGCTAAGAATCTTTACCGATACACCGATTATGTGTGTACTGCTCAGCTATTGGTATGTCGCAACGATTTCGATACGGAAAAAATGTAGCGAATTTACATTGAATAAAATAATTAAAAAGGTGGGATATTAGTGTTATTACGTCAATGGTATGGATTTTAATAAGCTAAATGTTGCGTTTAGAAGTGGTCAAGCAGGATATATTGTCAAAATAATGGTTTCTTATGTGAAGATCGTTGGTTTATTTTTTGAGGTTCTGTTTAGTGTGACAGCAGCATCGACGGTAAGTTTAATTTCTTATATAGCATTAGAATGTATTAAGTTCTTACTGATGCAGTCAAGGACACTGCAAATATGTCACAGTTCAAGTCAGTTCTCTTATACTAGCGTACTTACCTTTTGGCAGTAAAGTGTAAAAATCGAAGTTTGAAAAAATTTATTTCGAAAGTCTGCATCTTTTATGTCTAAATGATTAATTTTATTACGACAGAACAAAAGTGAATGAAAATTGTAAGCTGACTTTATATAGAGTCATGTAAAAGTGATTGCGATTCTAAATTGGCCTAAAATAAATGACATTCCGTCTTTGTCATAAATCAAAAAAATGTACTACTTTTCTTCGCGGTTTTCATAATCCATTTATATTATTTTTTCAAAGCAAAAAAGCAGTAATACAGAAATAATTATATAAATAAACTAAAAACCCCATGTTTTCTTGCATGTCAAGTCAAACAAAGAATATTTTTCTAAATTATTCTATCGGAGAAAAACTAAAACGATAAACACTTATTTATAAAAGGAATGTGGTTTGAACACTACCTTTTTACTTTGATAAATTGGGTTACCGATTTTATGCTTAGGAAACGAAATAATATGAAATATTTGTCAAAGTGGAAAAATAACGGGATATATTTTGTAATTGTGAAAATTTAAAAAAAACAGTAAATAAACTTAACTACGTATGACAGTATCGTTAAGTAATATTCGTGTTAATATGTTATTTCTCCATCGATATCCCTTTAAAATGCGGAAGTAGAATTGAAATATTATTTTAATATTCATTGCGTTAGATATATTGACTGCTTTTTTAGGTTATAAATTCTTGGAATCCGGTCAATTTAAAACATTTGTGCAAAAAATACAAAAGAAAAGACGTTAATGTCTTTCAAAAGTGTAAAATTAATACACAGAAAGACTTATTAATTGTTGTTGTTGTTTAATATTTATTTAACATGATTGCTACAATTATATTCGTCTAAAGAACTAAACAATTACAAAACATACAGACATTGAGAAAAAAACAAAATTTGCATTTTTAAGAATTTTCATTGTCCATGAAATATTCCTTTAATTTTCTTTTAAATATCTTTAAATTACAAGTAGACTTTATATCATTATTTAGTTTATTAAATTCAAGTAATCCTTTCTAAAATATTGATTTGCTAGTTATATTACTATTGCAATTTTGTAAATGAAAATCTATATTTCCTCTTGTATAATAATTTTGTAATGATTATTCAATTCTATGTAGTGTTCTAAATGTTCTGACAAAAGATGATTTTTTATTTTGAATATAAAAATAAGAACCAAATATGATATGAATTTTTTTATATTCAACCACTGCAATTCTTGTAACATAGATTTTATTTTGGTGTGCTTATATATATTCAATATTATTCTCATAGCTTTATTTTGCAAGACTTGTAATTTTGCGAATACAGCTTCATAGTGATCCTCACACTTTAGTTTACTATCAATATTTATACCTAAATATTTAATTGATTCAACATTTTCAATTATTTCTTCATTTATCCTAACTGTGATAGAATACTAAGTGACATATAAATCCAAACACCCAGTTTAAATGGTTTTATTTTAATAAAAGTTGGTGAATGTATTTATCTTACTGTAAATAACAAGTGAAAAAATTTTCAGCCTTATCAGTTGGACATTCCGGTATTTATACTGCTTTTTTTTAATTCACTAACGCTCTAAAAATGAATATTTCAGCCGCATTAAAGAATCAACGTTGGCGGATTTTGGTTCTTGACATCCTTTACGATCGGTTACGATGCCTAGAGTAGGGAGACCTGTACGATTTCGTCAACTTAGTGAGTTTGATAGGGGCCGTATAGTGGGACTTCGGGAAGCTGGACTTTCTTTTCGGGCA